GCTGCTAAATTTATTTTTTTTGAGTAAATTCTGGAAGTACTTGACCTTCACCGCCGGCAAGAAAGAACTGATGACACTAACATTGTTATGGTTCATTTCTTGGATTATCTTGTTGAGCCCATCTTATTCTTTTCATAACATGCCCATGACGTTCAAAACATCTTTCGTCCTTGATAATGAACATTTTGCAAATGTTCTTAAACGTTGTTACTTTCACAGAATCATTTAACAGAGCGGACCTGGCCGCAGTGGCGTTGCCCCCCGGAAACCCTCTCTAGGTATGTGATAAATGGTATCTCCAGGTATTGACGTCTTTATTGATGATGATGGATGTGAAACCATATTGATTACATGAATGATCTTATCCTCTTTTTTGACTCTCGTGATGGACTCCAAATTCTGTAAACAGAAAGCAAGAGTAAGTCAGTTAACAGGTGAAATATTCATCTTAATTTATAATTCCATCTCTGACATACAATCTTTATTGAAAGTCACAGATTAAACTAAGAAAAAATGCAATTCTACAGGTCGCACATAATCTACAGGACATAACACTTTCTTGAACAGTGGTCATAGTCCCCCCTGAACCACTCTAGTACTCCCCTGGGGGAATGAATTCCCACTGATCTGAAAAACAGAGTCGCCATATTATTTTTGTCTTCCTGGTAAAAGACTCGACCTTGTACTGAGACTTGTACACTGTGGTGAGTGTAACAACATGTGTGGTGAGTGTAACAACATGTGTGGTGAGTGTAACAACATGTGTGGTGAGTGTAACATGTGTGGTGAGTGTAACATGTGTGGTGAGTGTAATAACATGTGTGGTGAGTGTAACAACATGTGTGGTGAGTGTAACAACATGTGTGGTGAGTGTAACAACATGTGTGGTGAGTGTAACAACATGTGCGGTGAGTGTAACATGTGTGGTGAGTGTAACAACATGTGTGGTGAGTGTAACATGTGTGGTGAGTGTAATAACATGTGTGGTGAGTGTAACAACATATGTGGTGAGTGTAACAACATGTGTGGTGAGTGTAATAACATGTGTGGTGAGTGTAACAACATGTGTCGTGAGTGTAACAACATGTGTGGTGAGTGTAACAACATGTGTGGTGAGTGTAATACATGTTGGTGAGTGTAACAACATGTGTCGTGTGTAACAACATGTGTGGTGAGTGTAACAACAGTGTGGTGAGTGAACAACATGGTGGTGAGTTGTAACAACATGTGTGGTGAGTGTAACAACATGTGTCGTGAGTGTAACAACATGTGTGGTGAGTGTAACAACATGTGTGGTGAGTGTAACAACATGTGTGGTGAGTGTAACAACATGTTGGTGAGTTGTAACAACATGTGGGTGAGGTGTAACAACATGTGGTGAGTGTAACAACATGTGTGGTGAGTGTAACAACATGTGTGGTGAGTGTAACAACATGTGTGGTGAGTGTAACAACATGTGTGGTGAGTGTAACAACATGTGTGGTGAGTGTAACAACATGTGTGGTGAGTGTAACAACATGTGTGGTGAGTGTAACATGTGTGGTGAGTGTAACAACATGTGTGGTGAGTGTAACAACATGTGTGGTGAGTTGTAACAAACATGTGTGGTGAGTGTACAACATGTGTGGTGAGTGTAACAACATGTCTATCTACCACCTTCTTTCATGTCTATCACCTTCTCTTACACGTAAGTCCACGTTCTATTTCTCATTATTATTATTTATTATTAGTATTGTTAATAATAATAATAATAATAATAATAATAATAATATTATTATTATTATTATTATTATTATTATTATTATTATTATTATTATTATTATTATTATTATTTCTTGATGGTATCTGGTTGATAACCATCAACTTAGCAGTACAGTTGCATCCTGCAAGGTGTTATGAGTGAGTATGGTTGCAGGTCACTGCAGGATGGCAGGCTGCAGGTTCCCATACACTTCATAGGTCACAGGTGTACCTTCCGTGTCGACCTGATACCTGTGACCAGCAGGAGGAAGTACCTGATGCAGGCTGGAATGTCCTGCCCTGGCTGGACACTCTTCACTGGCCGAGGTACGTACCTACGTACACTGCAGGATAGATAGACGGGTGTATGGATAGGCTTAGATAATGGTTTGACTGAAGCCTAGGCGGGTAGGAATTTCTACTGGGGGGATAGAGGAAGTGACCATAGTTATTATTACTAAGTCTCGAGGAGGCTCCCATCCCTGGGATGACGAGCCTTTCACTGACACACAGGTGGTTTTCGTTTCAGCGGCCGGAAGCAGCGTCCGCCAGGTGGTGCACGACACTGTCAGCGACTTCGTCAGGAGAGCTAAGATGGAGGGTGTCTCGCTGACACTAGCTGACTGCGACTTAAACCAGAACTCGACCCCACTTAGCGACTTGCTGCTGCGATCCAGGCATCGTCCCCAGCACAGGGCGTCCCAGGATCTGCTGGGTCCTAGGCGTCGTCCCCAGCACACAGCATCCCAAGACCTGCTGGGACCAAGGCGTCGTCCCCAGCACACAGCATCCCAAGACCTGCTAGGACCCAGGGGTGGTCTGCTGGACACAACAACCCAAAAGGTATGGAACACAAGGCTGGGATTCGCGGATACATTCGCCAAAATACTAAGCACAAGGAGACACATGGACAACACATACTCCTGGAAGACACCAGACACAAGACCTGGTCTCCGACCAGTATCCAGAGACCGACTGCCCTACAGAAGGTCCCAAGTGTTGAGCTCAGGACTTGATCCCGTGGACTCATCATCCCAAGAAGAAATGAGTGAAGAATTTATACTTCTGAGTTCCCCAGACAGAACCTTCTGGGGCTCCTCTGGTAGAACCCACAAGTTTCCCACGAAGAAGGGTTCTCCAGACACAAGAAAACCAGTGGTGAAGACCCCGCCAAGGCTTAGTAATGACTGGAAAACTGTCACTACAAAGGCACCAGACACTACAAAGGCACCAGACACTACACAGGCGCCAGATATTACACAGGTACCAGACACTACACAGGCACCAGACACTCACGGGCACCAGACAATACACAGGCACCGATAATTCACAGGTACCAGAAAAATACACAGGCACCAGACATTACACAGGTACCAGACACTACACAGGCGCCAGACATTACAGAGGTACCAGACACTACACAGGCACCAGACACTACACAGGCAACAGACACTACACAGGCACCAGACATACACAGGCACCAGACCTAGAAAAGGCACCAGATATTACACAGGTACCAGCCCACAACAGGAACCGACATACACAGCCAACAGAACTACACAGGCACCAGACAACACACCCGGGCACCAGACATTAAAAGTACCAGACCATACCCGGCACCAGACACTACACAGGCACCAGACTTTACACAAGTACCAGACCTAACAGGCACCAGACACTACACAGGCAACAGACACTACACAGACACCAGACACTACACAGGTACCAGACACTACACAGGCACCAGACACTACAAAGGCACCAGACACTACAAAGGCACCAGACACTACACAGGCGCCAGATATTACACAGGTACCAGACACTACACAGGCACCAGACACTACACAGGCACCAGACACTACACAGGCACCAGATATTACACAGGTACCAGACACTACACAGGCACCAGACATTACACAGGTACCAGACACTACACAGGCGCCAGACATTACAGAGGTACCAGACACTACACAGGCACCAGACACTACACAGGCAACAGACACTACACAGGCAACAGACACTGCACAGGCACCAGACACTAGACAGGCACCAGATATTACACAGGTACCAGACACTACACAGGCACCAGACACTACACAGCCAACAGACACTACACAGGCACCAGACACTACACAGGCACCAGACATTACACAAGTACCAGACACTACACAGGCACCAGACACTACACAGGCACCAGACATTACACAAGTACCAGACACTACACAGGCACCAGACACTACACAGGCAACAGACACTACACAGACACCAGACACTACACAGGTACCAGACACTACACAGGCACCAGACACTACACAGGCACCAGACACTACACAGGCAACAGACACTACACAGGCACCAGACACTACACAGGCTCCAGACACTACACAGGAACCAGACACTACACAGGCAACATACACTGCACAGGCACCAGACACTACACAGGCACCAGAAAGTACACAGGCACCAGACACTACACAGGCACCAGACACTATACAGGTACATGACAATACACAGGCACCAGACACTGCACAGGCACCAGCCACAACACAGCCACCAGAAACTACAAAGGTACCAGACACTACAAAGGTATCAGACGCTATACAGGTACCAGACACTACACAGGTACCAGACACAACACAGGTACCACACACTACACAGGCACCAGACACTATTCAGGTACCAGACACTACACAGGTAGCGGATACTACACAGGCACCAGACACTACTCAGATACCAGACACTACACAGGCACCAGACACTATACAGGTACCAGACACTACACAGGTACCAGACACTACACAGTCACCAGACACTACACAGGTACCAGAAGCTACACAGGTGCCAGACACTACACAGATACCAGGTACTACACAGGTAACAGACACTACACAGGCACCTTACACTACACTGGTACCAAACACTACACAGGCAACAGCCCACTACACAGGCAACAGACACAAACACAGCCAACAGAACAAACACAGGCAACAGACACTACACAGGCAACAGACACTACACAGCCACAGACACTAACAGGCAACGGGACACTACACAGCCAACAGACACTCACAGCCAAAGACACTACACAGGCAACAGACACTACACAGCCAACAGACACTACACAGGCAACAGACACTACACAGCAACGGACAATACACAGGCAACAGACACTACACAGCCCAGGACAATACACAGGCAAACAGACACTACAAAAAGCCAAACCAGACCACACACCCAAGGACAATACACAGGAAACCAGACACTACACAGCCAGACAATACACAGGCAACAGACACTACACAGGCAACAGACACTACACAGGCAACAGACACTACACAGGCAACAGACACTACACAGGCAACAGACACTACACAGGCAACAGACACTAAAACAGACAACGGGGACACTACACAGGCAAGACACTACACAGGCAACAGACACTACACAGCCAACGGACAATACACAGGCAACAGACCCTACACATGCAACAGACACTACACAGCCAACAGACACTAAAACAGGCAACAGACACTACACAGGAACAGACATTACACAGCCAACGGCCCAATACACAGGCAACAGACACTACACAGCAACGACCTACACAGCCACAGACACTACACAGGAACAGACACTACACAGGCACAGACACTACACAGCCAACCCAACACATACCAGGCAAACAGACACTACACATGCAACAGCACTACACAGCCAACAGACACTACACAGGCAACAGACACTACACAGGAAACCAGACACTACACAGCCAACGGACAATACACAGGCAACAGACACTACACATGCAACAGACACTACACAGCCAACAGACACTAAACAGGCAACAGACACTACACATGCAACAGACATACACAGCCAACAGACACTAAACAGGCAACAGACACCAACATGCAAAAAAACATACACAGGCAAAGACACTACACAGCCAACAGACACTAAACAGGCAACAGACACTACACATGCAACAGACACTACACAGGCAACAGACACTACACAGCAACGGACAATACACAGGCAACAGACACTACACAGGCAACAGACACTACACAGCCAACAGACACTACACAGGAAAACAGACTTTACACAGCCAACAGGAAACACTAAACAGGCAACAGGACACTACACAGGCAACAGACACTACACAGGCAACAGACACTACACATGCAACAGACACTACACACCAAAACAGACACTAAACAGCAAAAAACACTACACAGCCAACAGACCACTACACAGTCAACAGCCCACAACACAGGACCAGACACTACAAGCCAACAGACCTACACAGCCAACAGACACTACACAGGCAACAGACACTACACAGGCAACAGACACTACACCGGCAACAGACACTACACAGGTACCAGACACTACACAGGCACCAGACACTACACAGGTACCAGGCACTACACAGGTACCAGACACTACACAGGTACCAGGTACTATACAGGCACCAAACACTACACAGGTACCAGACACTACACAGGTACCAGATACTACGCAGGCAACAGACACTACACAGGCACCAGACACTACACAGGTACCAGACACTACACAGGCACCAGACACTATACAGGTACATGACACTACACAGGCACCAGATACTACACAGACACCAGTCGCTACACAGGTACCAGACACTACACAGGCACCAGACACTACACAGGTAGCAGACAATACACAGGTACCAGATACTACACAGGTACCAGGTACTACGCAGGCACCAGACACTACATTGTCACCAGATACTACACAGGTACCAGACACTACACAGGCACCAGACACTACACAGGTACCAGACACAACACAGGCACCAGACACTACACAGGCACCAGACACTACACAGGCCCCAGACACTACACAGGTACCAGACATTACACAGGTACCAGACACTACACAGGCACCAGACACTACACAGGTACCAGATACTACACAGGCACCAGACACTATACAGGTACATGACACTACACAGGCACCAGATACTACACAGACACCAGTCGCTACAGAGGTACCAGACACTACACAGGCACCAGACACTACACAGGTAGCAGACAATACACAGGTACCAGATACTACACAGGTACCAGGTACTACGCAGGCACCAGACACTACATTGTCACCAGATATTACACAGGTAACAGACACTACACATGCACCAGACACTACACAGGCACCAGACACTACACAGGCACCAGACACTACACAGGCACCAGACACTACATTGTCACCAGATACTACACAGGTACCAGACACTGCACAGGCACCAGACACTACACAGGCTCCAGACACTACACAGGCACCAGACATTACACAGGTACCAGACACTACACAGGCACCAGACACTACACAGGCACCAGACACTACACAGGCACCAGACACTACACAGGCACCAGACATTACACATATACCAGACACTACACAGGCACCAGACACTACACAGGTACCAGACACTACACAGGTACCAGACACTACACAGGACCAGGACATTAAAACATATACCAGACACTACACAGGCACCAGACACTACACAGGTAGCAGACACTACACAGGTACCAGACACTATACAGGTACCAGATACTACACAGGTACCAGACACTACACAGGTACCAGACACTACACAGGTACCAGACACTACTCAGGTACCAGACACTACACAGGCACCAGACACTACACAGGCACCACATGCTACACAGGCACCAGACACTACACAGGCACCAGACACTACACAGGCACCAGGCACTACACAGGTACCAGACACTACACAGGCACCAGATACTACACATGCACCAGACACTACACAGGTACCAGATACTAGACAGGCACCAGACACTACACTGTTACCAGATACTACTCAGGCACCAGACATTCACAGGCACCAGGCACTACACAGGTACCAGACACCATACAGGTACCGCATACTACACAGTCACCAGATACTACACAGGCACCAGAGACTACACAGGTACCACATACTACACAGGCACCAGATACTACACAGGTACCACATACTACACAGGCACCAGATACTACACAGGTACCAGATACTACGCAGGTGCCAGACACTACACAGGCACCAGAAACTACACAGGCACCAGACACTACACAGGCACCAGACACTACACAGGAACCAGACACTACACAGGTACCAGACTCTACACAGGCACCAGACACTACACAGGCACCAGACACTACACAGGAACCAGACACTACACAGGTATCAGACTCTACACAGGCACCAGACACTACACAGGTGCCATACACTACACAGGCGCCAAACACTACACAGGCACCAGACACTACACAGGTGCCATACACTACACAGGCGCCAAACACTACACAGGCACCAGACACTACACAGGTACCAGACACTACACAGGTACCAGACACTACGCAGGTAACAGACACTACACAGGCAACAGACACTACACAGGTACCAGACACTACCCAGGCAACAGACACTACACAGCCAACAGACACTACACAGGCAACAGACACTACACAGGCAACAGACACTACACAGACAACAGACACTACACAGACAAAGACACCACACAGACAAACGACACTACACAGACAACGGGACACTACACGGGACAACAGACACTACACAGACAAACAGACACTACACAACCAACAGACACTACACAGACAAACAGGACCAATACACAGGAACAGACACTACACAGGCAACAGGCTTTACACAGGTACCAGACACTACACGGGTTTACCAGACACTCCACAGGCCCCAGACACTACACAGGCAAGGTTTACACAGGTACCAGACACTACACAGGTACCAGACACTACACAGGCAACAGACACTACACAGGCAACAGGCTTTACACAGGTACCAGACACTACACAGGTACCAGACACTACACAAGCACCAGACACTACACAGGCACCAGACACTACACAGGCACCAGACACTACACAAGCACCAGACACTACACAGGCACCAGACACTACACAGGTACCAGACACTACACAGGCACCAGACACTACACAGGCACCAGACACTACACAAGCACCAGACACTACACAGGTACCAAATACTACACATTTACCAGATACTACACAGGTGCCATACACTACACAGACACCAGACACTACACAGGCACCAGATACTACACATGCACCAGATACTACACAGGCACCAGATGCTATACAGGCACCAGATACTACACAGGCACCAGATACTACACAGGCACCAGATACTACACAGGCACCAGATACTACACAGGCACCAGATACTACACAGGCACCAGATACTACACAGGTATTATACACTACACAGGCACCAGATACTACACAGGTATTATACACTACACAGGCACCAGATACTACACAGGTATTATACACTACACAGGCACCAGATACTACACAGGTATTATACACTACACAGGCACCAGATACTACACAGGTATTGTACACTACACAGGCACTACACACTACACAGGCACCAGATACTACACAGTCACCAGTCACTAGACAGTCACCAGTCACTAGACAGTCACCAGTCACTAGACAGTCACCAGTCACTAGACAGTCACCAGTCACTACACAATCACCAGCATCTGGAGAACGTGACCATTCATCAGGTCACCGTCGCCGTAGAAGGCAGGCACCAGTCATAGTAAAGTCACCATACACTACTCAAGCACCAGTCATTAATCAGTCACTAGATAATGCTGAATCACTAGTCACTACACAGTCACCAGTCACTTCACATTTTCCAGTCACTATACAATCACCACTCACTATGGAGTCACACGGTGACTCTGGTGACTTACAGTCATCAGCCTGGGATGAGACATTAGGAATCACCAGTCACCATTACATTAATGATGACTTACTTACGCTGCAGTCACTACCTAGTCACCAGCAACTAAGGAGACGCCGTCCAAGACAAAGGCACCAGGTGCAGCACCATACAGTGCCTTTCCAAAGATTCCAAATCCTCGGGGTTCACGAGGTTTTACAAACAAAGGTGATTGAGAGTCACCAGGAAGTCCAAATGCTATTGACACTGCAAAGTTCACGACTCCTAGAGTCACCACGACACCTGCCCATCACTGCAGAGTCACCAGCTGTGACGAAGGCTCCATGTTGTGTGCTGTCACCACCTGCTACACAGGTACCAGTCACTACACAAGTTCCACCGCGTGTAGATTCACCAAGTCGAGCAGAGTCACTACAAAGTCCATCAATGCCTCTCAAAGATTCTATGACTCACTTAAAGTCACCAAGTCATCTGCAGTTACCAACCCCTGCAGAATCACCAGTCATAATTAGTTCCCACTACAGTCAAGAGGACGTCAGTTCTGAAGAGCCACAATCAAGTCACCAGTACAATTATAGTCACCAAGAAAATAAGACAAAACCCAGTCACCACTACAGTTATAGTCACCAGGATAATAAGAAAAGACCCAGTCACCACTACAGTCATAGTCACCAGGATAATAAGAAAAGACCCCGTTTACCACTACAGTTTACAGTCCCCAAGAAAAATAAGACAAAACCCAGTCACCACTACAGTCATAGTCACCAAGAAAATAAGACAAAACCCAGTCACCACTACAGTCATAGTCACCAAGAAAATAAGACAAAACCCAGTCACCACTACAGTCATAGTCACCAGGATAATAAGAAAAGACCCAGTCACCACTACAGTCACAGTCACCAAGAAAATAAGATCAAAACCCAGTCCCCCACACAGTCCCCAGTCACCAAAAAATAAGACAAACCAGTCACCACTACAGTCTAATCACCAAGAAATAAGACAAAACCCAGTCACCACTACAGTCATAGTCACCAAGAAAATAAGACAAAACCCAGTCACCACTACAGTCATAGTCACCAGGATAATAAGAAAAGACCCAGTCCACCACTACAGTCATAGTCCGGTAATAAGAAAAACCCAGTCACACTACAGTCATAGTCACCCGGACAATAAGACAAGACCCAGTCACCAATACAGTCATAGTCACCAAGGAAAATAAGACAAAAACCATTTCACCACAAAAACAAAACCGTCCACTAAGTCATACAGGACAATAAGAAAAAACCCAGTCACCACTACAGTCGTGGTCACCAGGACAATAAGAAAAAACCCAGTCACCACTACAGTCATAGTCACCAGGACAATAAGACAAGACCCAGTCACCACTACAGTCATAGTCACCAGGACAATAAGACAAGACCCAGTCACCACTACAGTCATAGTCACCAGGACAATAAGACAAGAAACCCAGTCACACTACAGTCTAGTCACCAGGACAATAAGACAAGACCCAGTCACCACTACAGTCATAGTCACCAGGACAATAAGACAAGACCCGTCATCACTACAGTCATAGTCACCAGGACAATAAGACAAAAACCCAGTCACCACTACAGTCATAGTCACCAGGACAATAAGACAAGACCCAGTCACCACTACAGTCATAGTCACCAGGACAATAAGACAAGACCCAGTCACCACTACAGTCATAGTCACCAGTACAATCAAGAGGGTCTTAGTTCTGAAGAACTACAATCAAGTCACCAGACAATAGAGGCTAGTTCACTACTCATTCACCAGTACAATCAAGAGGGCCCTAGTTTCGAAAAATACAATCAATCACCAGTTACAATTCAAGAGGCCCTAGTCTAGAAAACTACAATCAAGTCACCAGTACAATCAAGAGGGTCTTAGTTTCTGACAACTACCAAACAAAGTCACCCCTTTCAAACAAGAGGGTTTTGTTCTGAAGAACTACAATCAAGTCACCAGTACAATCAAGAGGGTCCTTAGTTCTGAAGAACTACAATCAAGTCACCAGTACAATCAAGAGGGTCTTAGTTCTGAAGAACTACAATCAAGTCACCAGTACAATCAAGAGGCCCTTAGTTCTGAAGAACTACAATCAAGTCACCAGTACAATCAAGAGGCCCTTAGTTCTGAAGAACTACAATCAAGTCACCAGTACAATCAAGAGGGTCTTTGTTCTGAAGAACTACAATCAAGTCACCAGTACAATCAAGAGGCCCTTAGTTCTGAAGAACTACAATCAAGTCACCAGTACAATCAAGAGGCCCTTAGTTCTGAAGAACTACAATCAAGTCACCAGTACAATCAAGAGGCCCTTTTGTTCTGAAGAACTACAATCAAGTCACCAGTACAATTTAAGAGGCCTTAGTTTTGAAGAACTACAATCAAGTCCCCCGTACAATCAAGAGGCCTTAGTTCTGAAGAACTACAAACAAGTCACCAGTACAATCAAGAGGGCTTAGTTCTGAAGAACTACAATCAAAATCACCATACAATCAAGGCTTAGTTCTGAAGAACTACAATCAAGTCACCAGTACAATCAAGAGGGTCTTAGTTCTGAAGAACTACAATCAAGTCACCAGTACAATCAAGAGGGCCTTAGTTCTGAAGAACTACAATCAAGTCACCAGTACAATCAAGAGGCCCTTAGTTCTGAAGAACTACAATCAAGTCACCAGTACAATCAAGAGGCCCTTAGTTCTGAAGAACTACAATCAAGTCACCAGTACAATCAAGAGGGCTTTGTTCTGAAGAACACAATCAGTCACCATTACAATCAAGAGGTCTTAGTTCTGAAGAACTTACAATCAAGTCCCCAGTACAATCAAGAGGGCCTTAGTTCTGAAGAACTACAATCAAGTCACCAGTACATCAAGAGGCCCCTTTGTTCTGAAGAACTACAATCAAGTCACCAGTACAATCAAGAGGCCTTAGTTCTGAAGAAATACAATCAAGTCACCCCTACAATCAAGAGGGGCCCTTTTTCTGAAGAACTACAATCAAGTCACCAGTACAATCAAGAGGGCCTTTTGTTCTGAAGAAATACAATCAAGTCACCATACAATCAAAAGGGCCTTTTGTTCTGAGAACTACAATCCCAAGGGCACCAGTACAATCAAGAGGGCCTTAGTTCTGAAGAACTACAATCAAGTCACCAGTACAATCAAGAGGGCCTTAGTTCTGAAGAACCACAATCAAGTCACCATTACAATCAAGAGGGCCTTTGTTCTGAAGAACTACAATCAAGTCACCAGTACAAATCAAGAGGGCCTTTTGTTCTGAAGAAAATACAATCAAGTCACCGTACAATCAAGAGGGCCTTGTTCGAAGAACTACAATTTAAGTCACCAGTACAATCAAGAGGGCCTGTTCTGAAGAACTACAATCAAGTCACCAGTACAATCAAGAGGGCCTTAGTTCTGAAGAACTACAATCAAGTCACCAGTACAATCAAGAGGGCCTTAGTTCTGAAGAACACAAACAAGTCACCCGTACCCAAACAAGAGGGCCTTGTTCTGAAAACTACAATCAAATCACCAGTACAATCAAGAGGGCCTTAGTTTGAAGAACACAATCAAGTCACCATTTCAATCAGAGGCCTTAGTTCTGGGAAAAACTACAATCAAGTCACCAGTACAATCAAGAGGGCCTTAGTTCTGAAGAACTACAATCAAGTCACCAGTACAATCAAGAGGGGCCCTTTGTCTGAAGAACTACAATCAAGTCACCCGGACATCAAGGGGGCCCCAGAAATAACTAAGACCCAAATCACCACTACATCAAGGGGGCCCAGGCTAAGAACAAACCCCCTCACCATACAGTTTATAGTACCAGGACAATAAGACAAGACCCAGTCAACCTACAGTCTAGTCACCAGGAATAAACAAGGCCCAGTCAACCATACAGTCATAGTCACAGGACAATAAGCAAGACCCTTTGTTTACCAACTACCCGTCAATGACCTAGTTCTGAAAAACCACAATCAAGTCACCAGGACAGTCAAGAGGACTTTAGTTCTGAAGAACCACAATCAAGTCACCACTACAGTCAAGACCTTAGTTCTGAAGAATTACAATCAAGTCACCAAGATAATAAAAGACCCAGTCACCACTACAGTCATAGTCGCCAGGACAGTAAGACAAGACCAAGACACCACTACAGTCATAGTCACCAGGACAGTAAGACAAGACCCATTCACTACTACAATCAAGAGAACCTATTTACTGGCATGAAAACCAGTCACCAGTACAGTCACGGGGACCGAGTCATTTACCAATCACTACTAAGTCACCAGCAAGGCAGAAGACCGCAGAAATCCCGCCGGAGAGAGGAAAGTCATCAAGACAGAAGACGCGGTCACCCACTACAAAGGTACTACGCTCTAGAGGTGCACCAGTCACTCCTGAACCAACAATTTGAGACCAGCAGGGTATTCCAAATGCTACTCTCACTACTAAGGTCACGATCGCAAGCGTTACCAGTCACCAAAGGTGCTGTAAAGTCACCAGTTTCGGCAGAATCACCAATGATGACGGTGCTGGAGAATACGGAGTCACCAGTCATTACAGAAACAGTCATATTTACAAATGTGACTGGTGATCCACAGTCACTTGAACTACAAAGTATTCCAGAGTCACTTGAGGCAGAGTCACCAGAAGTGTCACCGTCACCCTGAACTGCGTGGTGAGCAGTCACACAGTGAGCCAGTCACCAAAATATTCTATTTTCTTTCCTTTTTTATTCAGTCACCAGGTGATTCAGAGTCACCAGGTTCTCACAGTCACCAGGTGATTCAGAGTCACCAGGTTCTCACAGTCACCAGGTGATTCAGAGTCACCAGGTTCTCACAGTCACCAGGTGATTCAGAGTCACCAGAGTGACTTAAAAGTGGTGACTAACCACAGTGACTGACCATTCACCTCCAGTCACTGACCAATCACCGCCAGTCACTATAAGTCACAACCAGTCACTGACCAGTCATCAGCCACCTTCACCATGTAATACACACGCACCAGTCAGTTCAAACAGCTTTGCTATTACTAAGGTTCCTAATGATGCAAAGGTACCAGCTTATAAATGTATACACTGTGAGATATACACCTAGTAGTGTATATACACTGTGAGATATACACCTAGTAGTGTATATACACTGTGAGATATACACCTAGTAGTGTATATACACTGTGAGATATACATCTAGTAGTGTATATACACTGTGAGATATACACCTAGCAGTGTATATACACTGTGAGATATACACCTAGCAGTGTATATACACTGTGAGATATACACTGTGAGATATACACCTAGCAGTGTATATACACTGTGAGATATACACCTAGCAGTGTATATACACTGAGATATACACCTAGTAGTGTATATACACTGTGAGATATACACCTAGCAGTTGGTTTAGAAAGACACGTAAGCAAACACTATAACATATTTATTAGAAAACGTTTCGGTCCTGGGACCTTGATCACTTCTAACATACAGAGGTAGAAAGACATTATATATATATAGGCGGAGAGTGAGATGTGACGCACGGACCTGAGGAATGTCATAAGAACATAAGAATGGAGGAACACTGTAGAAGGCCTACTGGCCATGCGAGGCAGGTCCTTATCAAAACAACCTCTGTCTATGATGAGGACCAGGAGACGATGAAATCATGTGACTCCTGTGTTGTTGGGTTGGTGCTGCTTAAGTACATGTATGCCCAATGTTTTTGAAATTTTGTAGTTTCCCGTGTTGCGTTCTATAGTTTTCGGTGACGGTGATTAGTGAGGCTTCTAGGCACCGTCGGGGGTCTGAGGTCTGGTTCGGTGAGAACGAGTTGTGCCTCGTTCCAGTTCATCAAATGCCCCGTTGAGTCTCTGTGGAGGACACAGGCGTACCTTACATCGTCTCTGTTAGAGCATTTCGATGCTCATTCAGGCGGACTGCAAGACCTCTGCCTGTCTCGCCTACATATTTCTTGGGACAGAACCCACAGGGGATCGTGTAGACGCCTGCTGTAGAAGTTAGAGGTGTGGGGCTGCGTTTAGTAGTGAGGTCTTTGATAGAGGATGTGTTTATGGTGGAAACGTTGATGTTACTCATAGCAAGTGCCCGCGAGTATTCGTGGCAACATCGCCACATGGGAGTACTATGAACTGTTTAGGGGGCTGTTCCATGGGCGGTTTGTTGAGGATAGCTTGTGCCTTGAGTCTGCAATCTCGGATGAAGAAAGATGGGAACTGAAGACGTGTAAAGGCTTGTGTTATGTAAGTGCATTCTTCTAGAAAACAAGGGCTGGAGATGCGAAGAGCTCTCAAGAAGAAGCCAATGAGCTCTTCGCATCTCCAGCCCTTGTTTTCTAGAAGAAGAATGCACTTACATAACACAAGCCTTTACACGTCTTCAGTTCCCATCTTTCTTCATCCGAGATTGCAGACTCAAGGCACAAGCTATCCTCAACAAACCGCCCATGGAACAGCCCCTAAACAGTTCATAGTACTCCTATGTGGCGATGTTGCCACGAATACTCGCCGGGCACTTGCTATGAGTAACATCAACGTTTCCACCATAAACACATCCTCTATCAAAGACCTCACTACTAAACGCAGCCCCACACCTCTAACTTCTACAGCAGGCGTCTACACGATCCCCTGTGGGTTCTGTCCCAAGAAATATGTAGGCGAGACAGGCAGAGATCTTGCAGTCCGCCTGAATGAGCATCGAAATGCCTCTAACAGAGACGATGTAAGGTACGCCTGTGTCCTCCACAGAGACTCAACGGGGCATTTGATGAACTGGAACGAGGCACAACTCGTTCTCACCGAACCAGACCTCAGACGCCGACGGTGCCTAGAAGCCTCACTAATCACCGTCACCGACACTATAGAACGCAACACTGGAAACTACAAAATTTCAAAAACATTGGCATACATGATACTTAAGCAGCACCAACCCAACAACACAGGAGTCACATGATTTCATCGTCTACTGGTCCTCATCATAGACAGAGGTTGTTTTGATAAGGACCTGCCTCGCATGGGCCAGTAGGCCTTCTACAGTGTTCCTCCATTCTTATGTTCTTATGACATTCCTCAGGTCACGTGCGTCACATCTCACTCTCCGCCTATATATATATAATGTCTTTCTACCTCTGTATGTTAGAAGTGATCAAGGTCCCAGGACCGAAACGTTTTCTAATAAATATGTTATAGTGTTTGCTTACGTGTCTTTCTAAACCAACTTGTCGGTATTTATTACCAAGGTTTATACCACACCTAGCAGTGTATATACACTGTGAGATATACACCTAGCAGTGTATATACACTGTGAGATATACACCTAGCAGTGTATATATACTGTGAGATATACACCTAGTAGTGTATATACACTGTGAGATATACACCTAGCAGTGTATATATACTGTGAGATATACACCTAGTAGTGTATATACACTGTGAGATATACACCTAGCAGTGTATATATACTGTGAGATATACACCTAGTAGTGTATATACACTGTGAGATATACACCTAGCAGTGTATATACTTACACAAGAGACGATTTACTGTAGTGGGTCGCATCCTGGGGAGGGGTAAACATTGTTGAAAGGGGTTTCCGGGGAGAAATAAGCCATATTAATTATCATTGTTGGCTTATCCTGGCTTACTAACCCTCCTGGGTTAATAATCCAAATAAATTTTATTACTTTTTAATAAATATCACGTGAACTAAATATTAGAGAAGTTAGCCATTGTAATTTTAGAGAATGTAAGTCATCATAGAAAACGTTACTTTGTTGATGTAAATAAAGTGAAACTATTCTGTCTTTTTTCTTATGGAAGCTGTCGAAGATGAGAGATGAGATTTTGTGGGTGGCTAACCCTCCGGGGGTTAAAAATCCCCCGGAGGGTTAGCCACCCAGGATTATTAACCCAGAAGGTTAGTAACCCAGGATAACCCGACGAAGCCATATCATCTGACTGGCTTATTACCAGTGGGGGTCATTTATTCTTTACTCTGCACCCCCAAGATGCCACCCACACTAGCGCTCAAATTTTCCACTCGTCCGGGGATCGAACCCCGTCTAATGTGAGCTGAGGCCGCTACCAACTGAGCCACGAGCACCTATTCCTTGAGAGATATATGTTTCTCAACGCATATATACCAAGTGTCACTCTCTTTCTCTCAATGCATATATTCCAAGATCTATGTATGTTTCAGTGTGTGTATATATACACCGATAAATGCAAGTATCCCATTGTATATAAACTGAAAATTAACTTTAATATTTAGTTCAGGGATCATGTTGTATATTACCTTCAATATTACCACAAGAAAATGTTCATTAATAAATTATTTCCGGTAGCAAAGAAAAATAAAAACACGTAATAGTTTTATTATATATATTTCTGATATAATTAAGAGAATGAGAAACAAAGTATATGTTTTGAACCAGCATACAATATTCAGAGGTATAAATTTCTGTATATATATGGGAGAATTTATAATCTTCATTTGCGGAATTAAAATATTGTTGATGACAGCGTATATATGAGGATATATATACTGAGAGGTGTATTTCTCTCTGTGTATATATGCTGAGGAATTACTTTAATCTTGTTGTTAAGGATTAATGTATTCTTGACTGTTGACGAAGTGGTTACTTGCAGCCTTAATAACTCTCGCGTAGTAGATAGGCTTGAAACCTAACATACTATTAAGATCTTGACAACAGATCTTTGCTGGTGGAATGAAATTGAGGCAAAACTCTCATTGCTCCAGCTAACTTGTCATTGAAAAGATTACCGTATTTTTATATCACTATTTACAAAGAAACACTCTTTACAGTGCACTAGAGGGCTATGACCTCTTATCCCAGCACAGTTAATTTACAAATCCCGACCTTATGCAGAACAACCACAGTGGTTGTTCTGTATAAGGCAGAGATATAACTCGAGCGATCAGTTTACATTCCTAGAGTAATTAAATACTGAAGGTAACTACGTTAAAGACCATGATGACAGCTGCGCCTACACATCAGAGACCCCCTGGGTCTTGAGGCTGATGAAGGAGACCGAGAGGTCCTTGGGGACTGATGCAGGCTTGTAGTTCACCATCACCACCAGGAACCCCATGGCCAGCAGCGCACCCAGGAAGATCATACCGAAGGCCAGCCAGGTCATGTCTCCTGTAGGTGCAACACAAACATGCTTTTCAAAGTCTGGGCTATTATTATTATTAATTATGATTATTATTATGATAGTCAGGTGAAATTCTAAATTCTTACTAGTCATGTTAAGTCTCTCGACGTCTGGCAGTGATAAGAACATATGAAAGCAAAAGATTATCATAGGTTAAATAACATGAGGAAGATAGATATCTCAGGAATATCTAGAACAGTACCACCACCACTACTGACAGAGAGAGAGAGAGAGAGAGAGAGAGAGAGAGAGAGAGAGAGAGAGAGAGAGAGAGAGAGAGAGAGAGAGAGAGAGAGAGATGCTCTTGATATAAAGCAAAACATTATCCTCATAAATGCTAGTTTCGCCCAGTATGTTCTTTCTTCCTTCAACCCACGACTCTCGACTAACACCCAGGACGCCGATTACTTCTGAGTATCTTGTGTGTTGTGGACATGTCTCTTTACTATGATTTATATTAATGATGAGTTCTTGGGGAGGGAGAAGTATTTAGCTACTGTACAATTTGCTTGAATTACTTACTATTGCTTCGTGTGTAATATATATATATATAATATATATATATATATATATATATATATATATATATATATATATATAATATATATATATATATATATATATATATATATATATATATTATATATATATAATATATATATATTATATATATATATATATATATATATATATATATATATATATATATATATATTATATATTATTATAACACACTGGCCGATTCCCACCAAGGCAGGGTGGCCCGAAAAAGAAAAACTTTCACCATCATTCACTCCATCACTGTCTTGCCAGAAGGGTGCTTTACACTACAGTTTTTTAAACTGCAACATTAACACCCCTCCTTCAGAGTGCAGGCACTGTACTTCCCATCTCCAGGACTCAAGTCCGGCCTGCCGTTTCCCTGAAACCCCTTCATAAATGTTACTTTGCTCACACTCCAACAGCACGTCAAGTATTAAAAACCATTTGTCTCCATTCACTCCTATCAAACACGCTCATGCATGCCTGCTAGAAGTCCAAGCCCCTCGCACACAAAACCTCCTTTACCCCCTCCCTCCAACCTTTCCTAGGCCCGACCCCTACCCCGCCTTCCTTCCACTACAGACTGATACACTCTTGAAGTCATCTGTTTCGCTCCATTCTCTCTACATGTCCGAACCACCCTCAACAACCCTTCCTCAGCCCTCTGGACAACAGTTTTGGTAATCCCGCACCTCCTCCTAACTTCCAAACTACGAAATTCTCTGCATTATATTCACACCACACATTGCCCTCAGACATAACATCTCCACTGCCTCCAGCCTTCTCCTCGCTGCAACATTCATCACCCATGCTTCACACCCATATAAGAGCGTTGGTAAAACTATACTCTCATACATTCCCCTCTTTGCCTCCAAGGACAAAGTTCTTTGTCTCCACAGACTCCTAAGTGCAACCACTCACCCTTTTCCCCTCATCAATTCTATGATTCACCTCATCTTTCATAGACCCATCCGCTGACACGTCCACTCCCAAATATCTGAATACATTCACCTCCTCCATACTCTCTCCCTCCAATCTGATATCCAATCTTTCATCACCTAATCTTTTTGTTATCCTCATAACCTTACTCTTTCCTGTATTCACTTTTAATTTTCTTCTTTACACTCCCTACCAAATGCATCCACCAATCTCTGCAACTTCTCTTCAGAATCTCCCAAGAGCACAGTGTCATCAGCAAAGAGCAACTGTGACAACTCCCACTTTATGTGTGATTCTTTATCTTTTAACCTCCACGCCTCTTGCCAAGACCCTCGCATTTACTTCTCTTACAACCCCATCTATAAATACATTAAACAACCACGGTGACATCACACATCCTTGTCTAAGGCCTACTTTTACTGGGAAATAATTTCCCTCTTTCCTACATACTCTAACTTGAGCCTCACTATCCTCGTAAAAACTCTTCACTGTTTTTAGTAACCTACCTCCTACACCATACACCTGCAACATCTGCCACATTGCCCCCCTATCCACCCTGTCATATGCCTTTTCCAAATTCATAAATGCCACAAAGACCTCTTTAGCCTTATCTAAATACTGTTCACTTATATGTTTCACTGTAAACACCTGGTCCACACACCCCCTACCTTTCCTAAAGCCTCCTTGTTCATCTGCTATCCTATTCTCCGTCTTACTCTTAATTCTTTCAATAATAACTCTACCATACACTTTACCAGGTATACTCAACAGACTTATCCCCCTATAATTTTTGCACTCTCTTTTGTCCCCTTTGCCTTTATACAAAGGAACTATGCATGCTCTCTGCCATCCTAGGTACCTACCCTCTTCCATACATTTATTAAATAATTGCACCAACCACTCCAAAACTATATCCCCACCTGCTTTTAACATTTCTATCTTTATCCCATCAATTCCGGCTGCCTTAACCCCCTTTCATTTTACCTACTGCCTCACGAACTTCCCCCACACTCACAACTGGCTCTTCCTCACTCCTACAAGATGTTGTTCCTCCTTGCCCTATACACGAAATCACAGCTTCCCTATCTTCATCAACATTTAACAATTCCTCAAAATATTCCCTCCATCTTCCCAATACCTCTAACTCTCCATTTAATAACTCTCCTCTCCTATTTTTAACTGATAAATCCATTTGTTCTCTAGGCTTCCTTAACTTGTTAATCTCACTCCAAAACTTTTTCTTATTTTCAACAAAATTTGTTGATAACATCTCACCCACTCTCTCATTTGCTCTCTTTTTTACATTGCTTCACCACTTTCTTAACCCTCTCTTTTTTCCTCCATATACTCTTCCCTCCTTGCATCACTTCTACTTTGTAAAAACTTCTCATATGCTAACTTTTTCTCCCTTACTACTCTCTTCACATCATCATTCCACCAATCGCTCCTCTTCCCTCCCGCACCCACTTTCCTGTAACCACAAACTTCTGCTGAACACTCCAACACTACATTTTTAAAACCTACCCCATACCTCTTCGACCCCATTGCCTATGCTCTCATTAGCCCATCTATCCTCCAATAGCTGTTTATATATCTTACCCTAACTGCCTCCTCTTTTAGTTTACAAACCTTCACCTCTCTCTTCCCTGATGCTTCTATTCTCCTTGTATCCCATCTACCTTTTACTGTCAGTGTAGCTACAACTAGAAAGTGATCTGATATATCTGTGGCCCCTCTATAAACATGTACATCCTGAAGTCTACTCAACAGTCTTTTATCTACCAATACATAATCCAACAAACTACTGTCATTTCGCCCTACATCATATCTTGTATACTTATTTATCCTCTTTTTCTTAAAATATGTATTACCTATAACTAAACCCCTTTCTATACAAAGTTCAATCAAAGGGCTCCCATTATCATTTACACCTGGCACCCCAAACTTACCTACCACACCCTCTCTAAAAGTTTCTCCTACTTTAGCATTCAGGTCCCCTACCACAATTACTCTCTCACTTGGTTCAAAGGCTCCTATACATTCACTTAACATCTCCCAAAATCTCTCTCTCTCCTCTGCATTCCTCTCTTCTCCAGGTGCATACACGCTTATTATGACCCACTTCTCGCATCCAACCTTTACTTTAATGCACATAATTCTTGAATTTACACATTCATATTCTCTTTTCTCCTTCCATAACTGATCCTTCAATATTACTGCTACCCATGTGTTAGGCACAGCATCTTGTGTAAGTGTAGACAGCCAGGAACTTACAAGCGAGAAGTGTCACGTTCGAGTCCCGGTCCTCCTTACATAATAGAGGCGACTGCCTGCCGTTGCCACCTGACTCACCTGGTGTATACACCTTGTCGTTCTTCTGTTGTTCAGCGAGCCAACTGGCGTAGTCCAGGTCACCAAAGAGGTCACCTGAGAAGGTCAGAGGTCACACATATGTTAAGACACGTTAAGACATGTTATAACACGACAATTACATTCATTATAGAACACACTAATGACTATATATATATACATACATACATATATATACTTTTTTTTCAACAAACCGGCCGTATCCCACCAAGGCAGGGTGGCCCAAAAAGAAAAACGAAAGTTTCTCTTTTTAAATTTAGTAATTTAAACGGGAGAAGGGGTTAATAGCCCCTTGCTCCTGGCATTTTAGTCGCCTCTTACAACACCCATGGCTTACGGAGGAAGAATTCTGTTCCACTTCCCCATGGAGGTAACAGGAAATAAACAAGGACAAGAACTAGAAAGAAAATAGAAGAAAACCCAGAGGGGTGTGTATATATACATATATATGCTTGTACAGGTATGTGTAGTGTGACCTAAGTGTAAGTAGAAGTAGCAAGACGTACCTGAAATCTTGCATGTTTATGAGACAGAAAAAATGGACACCAGCAATCCTACCATCATGTAAAACAATTACAGGCTTCCGTTTTACACTCACTTGGCAGGACGGTAGTACCTCCCTGGGCGGTTGCTGTCTACCAACCTACTACCTCCATATATATATATATATATATTATATATATATATATATATAATATATATATATATATATATATATATATATATATATATATATAATATATATATATATATATATATATATATATATATATATATATATATATACTTACGTGAGTAATGAGCACAATGAGTGGAAGTGACGAGTTTAAGATCACGCTCCCCCAGGTGATGAGTGCCAATGAAACAGAGGTTGTTGGCACCCTCGTTGTCTTGCCCACATACGCCGTAGTCGTCCTGGTGGCACTCAGAACAAAAGTCAAAACTCTCGCAGACTTCATCGGGATCTGGAAGCCAAGAGTTGTCTTTAGAGGCTAAGAGCTGATATCCTACCTCAGCTTATTTACAAGCTATGAGCTGATATCCCACCTCAGCTTATTTACAACTGTTCCCAACCACTATAATGTCTGCAAGGGTAGTCCACTAAGACCCAGGTACCGATATACCGGTAAGTGAAGACGGTTAGCAGGTGTAAAGTACCTTTCAGGCATCTGACTCTGCTCCAGGTTCACACTCTTGGTTACCCAGTAGTAAGCAAGTCTGGCATCGTAGCTCCACTTTCTCTGTACGCTTTCTTCTGCTTCCTGACACGTATTGGCACCCCCCGAGCACTCCTTGGCACCCCCGACACTCCTTGGCACCCCCAGGTTCTCCTTGGCACGTCCAGACACTCCTTGGCACCCCCAGACACTCCTTGGCGCCTCCAGACACTTCTTGGCACCACCAGACACTCCTTGGTAGCCCTAGACACTTCTTGGCACCCTTAGACACTCACTAGCATCCCCATCACTGGCACCCCTCAGACACTGGCACCCACAGACACTCTTTGGCACCCTCAGACACTCACTGGCACTCCTGAAGACTTACCGTCAGTGCAAAGCTTGGCACAGCTAGAGGTGTCGGAGTTGACCAGTGCCAGCTTGTGTTTGGTGCTTGGCATCCCCTGGTTACCATAGCGTGTGAAGATGTTGTCAGTCTTACCTGTCAAGTAGCATCACACCTGTTACTGTCAAGTAGCACCACACCTGTTACTGTCAAGCAGCATCACACCTGTTACTGTCAAGTAACATCACACCTGTTACTGTCAAGCAGCATCACACCTGTTACTGTCAAGTAGCATCACACCTGTTACTGTCAAGTAGCATCACCCCTGTTACTGTCAAGTAGCATCACACCTGTTACTGTCAAGTAGCATCACACCTGTTACTGTCAAGTAGCATCACACCTGTTACTGTCAAGTAGCATCACACCTGTTACTGTCAAGCAGCACCACACCTGTTACTGTCAAGTAGCATCACACCTGTTACTGTCAAGTAGCATCACACCTGTTACTGTCAAGCAGCATCACACCTGTTACTGTCAAGCAGCATCACACCTGTTACTGTCAAGCAGCACCACACCTGTTACTGTCAAGCAGAATCACACCTGTTACTGTCAAGTAGCATCACACCTGTTACTGTCAAGTAGCACCACACCTGTTACTGTCAAGCAGCATCACACCTGTTACTGTCAAGCAGCATCACACCTGTTACTGTCAAGCAGCACCACACCTGTTACTGTCAAGCAGCATCACACCTGTTACTGTCAAGTAGCATCACACCTGTTACTGTCAAGTAGCATCACACCTGTTACTGTCAAGTAGCACCACACCTGTTACTGTCAAGCAGCATCACACCTGTTACTGTCAAGCAGCACCACACCTGTTACTGTCAAGCAGCATCACACCTGTTACTGTCAAGTAGCATCACACCTGTTACTGTCAAGTAGCATCACACCTGTTACTGTCAAGTAGCATCACACCTGTTACTGTCAAGCAGCATCACACCTGTTACTGTCAAGCAGCATCACACCTGTTACTGTCAAGCAGCATCACACCTGTTACTGTCAAGCAGCATCACACCTGTTACTGTCAAGCAGCATCACACCTGTTACTGTCAAGCAGCATCACACCTGTTACTGTCAAGCAGCACCACACCTGTTACTGTCAAGCAGCATCACACCTGTTACTGTCAAGCAGCATCACACCTGTTACTGTCAAGCAGCATCACACCTGTTACTGTCAAGCAGCATCACACCTGTTACTGTCAAGCAGCATCACACCTGTTACTGTCAAGCAGCATCACACCTGTTACTGTCAAGCAGCATCACACCTGTTACTGTCAAGCAGCATCACACCTGTTACTGTCAAGCAGCATCACACCTGTTACTGTCAAGCAGCATCACACCTGTTACTGTCAAGCAGCATCACACCTGTTACTGTCAAGCAGCATCACACCTGTTACTGTCAAGTAGCATCACACCTGTTACTGTCAAGTAGCATCACACCTGTTACTGTCAAGTAGCATCACACCTGTTACTGTCAAGCAGCATCACACCTGTTACTGTCAAGCAGCACACACCTGTTTACTGTCAAGCAGCATCACACCTGTTACTGTCAAGTAGCATCACACCTGTTACTGTCAAGTAGCATCACACCTGTTACTGTCAAGCAGCATCACACCTGTTACTGTCAAGTAGCACCACACCTGTTACTGTCAAGTAGCATCACACCTGTTACTGTCAAGCAGCATCACACCTGTTACTGTCAAGCAGCACCACACCTGTTACTGTCAAGCAGTATCACACCTGTTACTGTCAAGTAGCATCACACCTGTTACTGTCAAGTAGCATCACACCTGTTACTGTCAAGCAGCATCACACCTGTTACTGTCAAGTAGCACCACACCTGTTACTCTCAAGTAGCATCACACCTGTTACTGTCAAGCAGCATCACACCTGTTACTGTCAAGTAGCATCACACCTGTTACTGTCAAGCAGCATCACACCTGTTACTGTCAAGTAGCACCACACCTGTTACTGTCAAGTAGCATCACACCTGTTACTGTCAAGCAGCACCACACCTGTTACTGTCAAGCAGCACCACACCTGTTACTGTCAAGTAGCATCACACCTGTTACTGTCAAGCAGCATCACACCTGTTACTGTCAAGCAGCACCACACCTGTTACTGTCAAGCAGCATCACACCTGTTACTGTCAAGTAGCATCACACCTGTTACTGTCAAGTAGTATCACACCTGTTACTGTCAAGCAGCATCACACCTGTTACTGTCAAGTAGCACCACACCTGTTACTGTCAAGTAGCATCACACCTGTTGCTGTCAAGTAGCATCACACCTGTTACTGTCAAGCAGCACCACACCTGTTACTGTCAAGTAGCATCACACCTGTTACTGTCAAGTAGCACCACACCTGTTACTGTCAAGCAGCATCACACCTGTTACTGTCAAGTAGCATCACACCTGTTACTGTCAAGCAGCACCACACCTGTTACTGTGAAGCAGCACCACACCTGTTACTGTCAAGCAGCACCACACCTGTTACTGTCAAGCAGCACCACACCTGTTACTGTCAAGCAGCACCACACCTGTTACTGTCAAGTAGCATCACACATGTTACTGTCAAGTAGCATCACACCTGTTACTGTCAAGCAGCATCACACCTGTTACTGTCAAGCAGCATCACACCTGTTACTGTCAAGCAGCACCACACCTGTTACTGTCAAGTAGCACCACACCTGTTACTTTCAAGCAGCACCACACCTGTTACTGTCAAGCAGCATCACACCTGTTACTGTCAAGCAGCACCACACCTGTTACTGTCAAGTAGCATCACACCTGTTACTGTCAAGTAGCATCACACCTGTTACTGTCAAGTAGCATCACACCTGTTACTGTCAAGCAGCACCACACCTGTTACTGTCAAGCAGCACCACACCTGTTACTGTCAAGTAGCATCACACCTGTTACTGTCAAGTAGCACCACACCTGTTAGTGTCAAGTAGCATCACACCTGTTACTGTCAAGTAGCATCACACCTGTTACTGTCAAGCAGCATCACACCTGTTACTGTCAAGCAGCACCACACCTGTTACTGTCAAGTAGCATCACACCTGTTACTGTCAAGTAGCACCACACCTGTTACTGTCAAGCAGCACCACACCTGTTACTGTCAAGCAGCACCACACATGTTACTGTCAAGTAGCATCACACCTGTTACTGTCAAGTAGCATCACACCTGTTACTGTCAAGTAGCATCACACCTGTTACTGTCAAGTAGCATCACACCTGTTACTGTCAAGTAGAACCACACCTGTTACTGTCAAGTAGCACCACACCTGTTACTGTCAAGTAGCATCACACCTGTTACTGTCAAGTAGCATCACACCTGTTACTGTCAAGTAGCATCACACCTGTTACTGTCAAGCAGCACCACACCTGTTACTGTCAAGCAGCACCGCACCTGTTACTGTCAAGTAGCATCACACCTGTTACTGTCAAGCAGCACCACACCTGTTACTGTCAAGCAGCACCACACCTGTTACTGTCAAGCAGCACCACACCTGTTACTGTCAAGTAGCATCACACCTGTTACTGTCAAGCAGCATCACACCTGTTACTGTCAAGCAGCACCACACCTGTTACTGTCAAGCAGCACCACACCTGTTACTGTCAAGCAGCACCACACCTGTTACTGTCAAGCAGCACCACACCTGTTACTGTCAAGCAGCACCACACCTGTTACTGTATACATAAGAAAATGCAGTCATTGAAGGCTTGGTGTGTGTTTGTGTGTGTGTACTTGCCTATTTGTGGTTGCAGGGGTCGAGTCACAGCTCCTGGCCCCGAGTGTGTGTGTGTGTGTGTGTGTGTGAGTGTGTGTGTCTCACACTGGGAACACTTACTGAAGTTGTGGATATACACTTACTGGAGAAGTGGATGCAGGAGGTGTTAAGGAGGTAGTCGCCTCCACCAGACACATCAAGGAAGTGTTCAGAGTGGAGGTGGCACTCCATTGAGTCGTAGCACCACTCAAAACTCAGGCACTTGATACTCTTCTCCTTGGAGCAGTACCTGCAGAGAGGGAGCGGTCCAGGCTGGCTCCTTACATAGTTTAAAGAGCAGGTATGACAGTGACCTTGAGGCTAGGAGGGAGTGAATTTGGCAAAGTGGAAAATTAAAAGGCGGGGACAGGAGCTAAGACTCGACTCCTGGAACCACATACATATTGTTAAGATATATATAAACATAACATACACACACACACACCACACACACACACACACACACACACACACACACACACACACACACAAACACACACAAACACACACAAACACACACACACACACACAAACACACACACAGAGCTAAGGGGAATGTCCTACGAAGAAAGGTTGAGGGAAATCGGCCTGACGACACTGGAGGACAGGAGGGTCAGGGGAGACATGATAACAACACACAAAATACTGCGTGGAATAGACAAGGTGGACAGAGACAGGATGTTCCAGAGATGGGACACAGAAACAAGGGGTCACACTTGGATGTTGAAGACTCAGATGAGTCAAAGGGATGTTAGGAAGTATTTCTTCAGTCATAGAATAGTCAGGAAGTGGAATAGTCTGGCAAGTGAGGTAGTGGAGGCAGGAACCATACATAGCTTTAAGATGAGGTATGATAAAGCTCATGGAGCAGGGAGAGAGAGGTCCTAGTAGCACTCAGTGAAGAGGCGGGGTCAGGAGCTGAGTCTCGACCCCTGCAACCACAATTAGGTGAGTACTTACATTGCACAGGTTTCAATGTGATCAACTTTGGTGTAAACTGGACCACTGGTAGTGAGAGCCACACCTCCCAGGACAGGTTTGTAGTCCACTAGATACGACCCTGCAATGATGCAACTTATTATTATTATTATGACTGTTAGGTGACTGTAGTTTTCTCTCAGATGATAAATATTACCTCTCAGATGATAAATATTACCTCTCAGATGATAAATATTACCTCTCAGGTGATAAATATTACCATCTATGCTGAGGTGATGTACTGAGAAAGTTTAAACTAGTCTCTAGTTATCTTTATTACTGATTCTCTTTCTCACACGAGATTAACAGTGTATTACCCTTCCTATCTCACCTCCCTCCCTTCCTCTCCCTCAACTCACTACTGTAGATGAACGCCTGTGAGTGTGGCACCAGCTCCGTTCTGTTGATCACCGAGAAGTCCCTGGCGATGAGGAGGCACTGACCCTCCAGACGCATGTGTATTAACGTCTGGCACCTGAAGGCTTTCCACAACACACACACGTTGAGGCACTCATCCATGGTTGTCACCTGGCACCGGCAAGACACAGGAGAGGAGGGGGTTAGAAGAGAATAGAACAAAGTGTGTAGATGAACCTCGGAAGAGGAAGAGAGAGGCAAGAGAATGGCAGAGAGTGAAGTATGAAGATTGAGACACTTATGCAACATATGGGAATCTTTATTCAGGAAACGTTTCGCTACACAGTGGCTTCATCAGTCCAATACAAAGCAGAAAGGTGTAAGGAGAGGAGGAGTTTGAGGTAATCAGTCCCTCAGCCTGGAGTCGATGTGTTCAGTCCATTAATATTGTAGAATGTACAGCATAGGGCCGTAGACGTGGCTTATGTAAGCCGAGTCTACGGCCCTATGCTGTACATTCTACAAGATTAATGGACTGAACACATCGACTCCAGGCTGAGGGACTGATTACCTCAAACTCCTCCTCTCCTTACACCTTTCTGCTTTGTATTGGACTGATGAAGCCACTGTGTGGCGAAACGTTTCCTGAATAAAGATTCCCATATGTTGCATAAGTGTCTCAATCTTCAACCTGTCGGTTTTTCAAACCATTCATCACACAGAGAGTGAAGAATGAGGGATGGATAATGATGTGAGATGTAAGGGAGGGAAAGAAGTACATGTGAGTACATAAGAATACATAGTAATACACGGGAGTACATTTGAAAGGTATATACAACATAAAATGTAATATTCAATATAGAGGCAATTTGCTGAGGCCTAACCTAGGTCTATGTACCTCTAATTCTTTCTGAACATTCGAGTAGAAGGTAGAAAGGGTTGGGAGAAATGAGCTTAAAGTCAGAAAAGATCGAGAAAACATGTCAGTGGGAACGAAAAGACATGAGGAGACGGACTAAGAAACGAAGCTGGGAGATGACATGTCGATGAATGGAAGTCAACATGATGGTGCATCTAGTGTCAATCTTGAACCTCTGATCTGCCCTGGCACCCGGTGCCACGTTCTTACATTTTGAACGACATCTGGAGAGGCAATGGTAGCGGAAGAGGCTTCGAGGGTAAACTGAACTTTGACCAGGTCCTCAGGGTCGGGAGTTCGATAGTGTAGACTGGCAGACGCTTCGAAGTTCACTTGCTCCTCCTGTGGGTGAGGAAGTTAACAGTGCTTACTAGGTTTGGCTGGTGAAAGTGACCTTTTGTGGATGCTTTGTGGATTTGGCTGATTCAAATTGTGAATAGTTTTTGGGATCTGGTTGTTACTAATGACATGTCTATATCTAGACTGCACACACACACACACACACACACACACACACACACACACTTACCTTGTAAAGAATACTGAAGCTGAACTTTCTATTCTTAATAGCGGTCAGAATTTCAGTGTAAACCTTCTGTGTTGGGTAGTCCTCAAAGGTCTTGTTCGTGAGGTTGAAGATCCAGTGGCGACACACGTCGTAGCTGTTGATTTCATTCCCATCAGTGTTTTCAGTGGCACTCAGGAAACACACCTCGTAGTCACAGTGGTGGAACGACCTGCAGGAACCACCCAGGAGTTAGAAAGGGAACTTTTTGAGATGTTAAGTAGGGGACATCTTGTGTTATCTGGGATATTGGGTGATGCTATTTGAACAACGTTGAGATGGTTGGAATAATACTTGGAGGGATGTGTACAACTCTTCTGATATGTCAACGATCATGGTAGATCTAGGATAGAGGTCCTAGGGATGGGGACGCTGGTGATCTAGGAACGGCTAGATGCTGGTAGCTAAACACACACACACACACACACACACACACACACACACACACACACACACACACACACACACACACACACACAGTTGAATTGGAAAAGCCTGACTATAAAAGAGGGGACTACATAGGGTTGAAGAACTTCCTGAGGGAGGTCAAGTGGGACAGAGACCTGGCAGGAAAGCCAGTAAATGAAATGATGGAATATGTAACAACAAAATGCAAGGAGGCAGTGGAAAGGTTTATTCCCAAGGGCAACAGTAACAACGGGAAGACCAGAACGAGCCCCTGGTTTACCCGACGGTGTAAGGAGGCAAAAACAAAGTGCAATAGAGAATGGGAAAAAGTACAGAAGGCAGAGAACACACGAAAATAGGGAGATCAGTCGCAGAGCCAGGAATGAGTACGCACAGGTAAGGAGGGAGGCCCAGCGACAGTATGAAAATGACATAGCATCGAGAATCAAGACTGACCCGAAACTGTTGTATAGCCACATCAGGAGGAAGACAACAGTCAAAGACCAGGTGATCAGATTAAGGACAGAAGGTGGAGAACTCACAAGAAATGATCAGGAGGCATGCGAGGAGCTGAACAGGAGATTTAAGGAAGTTTTTACAGTAGAGACAGGAAGGGCTGTGGGAAGACAGCAGAGAAGGGAACATCAAGAGGGAATATACCAACAAGTGTTGGATGACATACGAACAACTGAGGAGGAGGTGAAGAAGCTCTTAAGTGACCTTGACACCTCAAAGGCGATGGGACCGGACAACATCTCCCCATGGGTCCTTAGAGAAGGAGCAGAGATGCTGTGCGTGCCTCTAACCACAATCTTCAACACATCCCTTGAAACTGGGCAACTACCTGAGAAATGGAAGACAACTAATGTAGTCCCAATATTTAAGAAAGGAAACAGAAACGAGGCACTAAACTACAGACCTGTGTCTCTGACATGTATTGTGTGCAAAGTCATGGAGAAGATTATCAGGAGGAGAGTGGTCGAACACCTGGAAAGGAACAAGATTATAAATGAAAACCAGCATGGGTTCATGGAAGGCAAATCTTGTATCACAAACCTCCTGGAGTTTTATGACAAGGTAACAGAAGTAAGACACGAGAGAGAGGGGTGGGTAGATTGCGTTTTCCTAGACTGCAGGAAGGCCTTTGACACAGTTCCCCACAAGAGATTAGTGCAGAAGCTGGAGGATCAGGCGCATGTAAAAGGGAGGGCACTGCAATGGATAAGGGAATACCTGACAGGGAGGCAGCAACGAGTCATGGTACGTGAAAAGGTATCACAGTGGGCGCCTGTTACGAGCGGGGTCCCACAGGGGTCAGTTCTAGGACCAGTGCTATTTTTTATTTATGTGAACGACATGATGGAAGGAATAGACTCTGAAGTGCCCCTGTTCGCAGATGACGTGAAGTTGATGAGAAGAATTAAATCGGACGAGGATGAGGCAGGACTGCAAAGAGACCTGGAAAGGCTGGACATGTGGTCCAGTAACTGGCTTCTTGAATTCAATCCAGCCAAATGCAAAGTCATGAAGATTGGGGAGGGGCAAAGAAGACCGCAGACAGAGTATAGGCTAGGTGGACAAAGACTACAGACCTCACTCAGGGAGAAAGACCTTGGGGTGAGCATAACACCGAGCACATCACCGGAGGCACACATCAACCAAATAACTGCTGCAGCATACGGGCGCCTGGCAAACCTGAGAATAGCGTTCCGATACCTTAATAAGGAATCGTTCAAGACACTGTACACTGTGTATGTTAGGCCCATACTGGAGTATGCAGCACCAGTCTGGAACCCACACCTGGTCAAGCACGTCAAGAAGTTAGAGAAAGTACAAAGGTTTGCAACAAGGCTAGTCTCAGAGCTCAAGGGAATGTCGTACGAGGAAAGGTTAAGGGAAATCGGACTGACGACACTGGAGGACAGAAGGGTCAGGGGAGACATGATAACGACATACAAGATACTGCGGGGAATAGACAAGGTGGACAGAGATAGGATGTTCCAGAGAGGGGACTCAGGGACAAGGGGTCACAACTGGAAGCTGAAGACTCAGACGAGTCACAGGGACGTTAGGAAGTATTTCTTCAGTCATAGAGTTGTCAGCAAGTGGAATAGCCTAGCAAGTGAAGTAGTGGAGGCAGGAGCCATACATAGTTTTAAGAAGAGGTATGACAAAGCTCAGGAAGCAGAGAGAGAGAGGACCCAGTAGCGATCAGTGAAGAGGCGGGGCCAGGAGCTGAGTCTCGACCCCTGCAACCACAATTAGGTGAGTACAATTAGGTGAGTACACACACACACACACTTGCAGGTGAACGCTTCTTCCTGGGAACAGAGAGCAGCACAGTCCTCCAGAGCTTCGATGTCACTGATAGACTTCTCCTTACTGCCAGGATTCTGGTATTCCTCTCCGAGGGGCGTCCTGCAGGGAAGGATACATGCTTAGCGATACGGGATACAGGTACAAGGGGATACAGGTATCTTGGTTTTATGCCTTAAAGGGTTCACCAGTGTTCCTTACCTGTAAGTGTAGATGTAAGGTGCTCTTTCCAGCAATTTGACTGACACGGTGATCATGTCAGCGTTGGTGGTGTTGGGAATCACTCCTGACACTCCGTCTTCCACCTGTGGAGAGTGTGGGGGTGGAGGGTGAGAGGCTACACCACAGTGTGGGGGTTATGAGTGGAACTGGCAGTAGTGATGATATGTATCAGTCTGAGTTGAGAGACTTCATCAGCACAGTGAGAATATCGTCCAGTATTTCGCTAAGGAATACTTGACAACATCTTCAAAGGCTTCGTTCCAGCAAAGCTGGAGTTACTATTATTTTAGAATTAATATCTCTCAAGATTGTGCATCCTACACATATTAGGCATGTCATTTGAGATGATCCTGAGATGGTAGCTGACAGCTGGATGTCTGTACAGTCATTGACAATCTAATTGAAGTATCTTTGGGGAGCTAGAGAGTAGACACATGGCAAGCTAGACTGACTATAGATATAGTGTTGAGTTGGAAGCATCAGTTAAGAACTTGGTCCAGTATTTCGCTAAGGAACCCTTAGCAGGCTACTTCAAAGGCTTTCGAGCAAAGTGGATTAGTTATGTGAGAGTTAATATCTCTCAAGATGGGCACCTAACATTTGGGCATGTCTTTGAGATGAATCCTGAGGGTAGCTGACATGGATGTCGTACAGATCATTGACAATCTAATTGAAGTATCTTTGTGAGCTAGAAGTCAGGGACACTGGCAAGCTAGGACCTAACCTAAGATATTATGTGTTGGCTGGAGGCCAGTTTAAAGAACTGTTGAGGATAGTTTTAGGAACCCCCTATGAGGGCTGGAGGGCTAGCTTTGAAGTCTAGGGACTAGCTTTAGGGCTGGAGGACTAGCTTTGAAGTCTAGGGACTAGCTTTAGGGCTGGAGAACTAGCTTTGAAGTCTAGGGACTAGCTTTAGGGCTGGAAACACTTGAATCTAGGCCGGCTTTAAGCCTGGAGGACATAAGTTAGAAGCCAAGGGTCTAGCTTGAGGGCTGACTCACCTGTATATCTGCTATCCTGACTGGTGACATGTTGCCAAGGCTCACTAGCTGCGAGATGAGTTCATGTTTGAACCTCTTCACCTCGTCCTTTACCAACTCAAACTGCTTCTCTGTTGGTGGGTCAGGAAGTGGGTGGGTTAGTGGGTGGGTCAGGAAGTGGGTGGATTAAGTGGGGTTATCATATAGGTAAAAGACAGATGGAGTGATCAGGAGGTGGGTTAGTAAGGTGAGTTGAGAGGGGAACCCTCCAGTGCAGAAAATTGTGTGGTTTGACACCAGGACTGCCTCCCTCCCTCCCTCCCTCCCTGCCTTCCCTCCCTGCCTTCCCTCCCTGCCTTCCCTCCCTGCCTTCCCTCCCTGCCTTCCCTCCCTGCCTCCCTGTACCTACCTTTGGTAGCTGGGAAGAAGAGAACGATGTAGGACCACCTATCATCGTACTTCTCATAACATTCCTGTATTGAGAACTCTTCTTCTGAGTACAAGTTGATCTCTTGGAAGTCGTAGAAGTTAGTGCTGGCCATTGATACCATCTGGGAGGGTAGTACTGTTAGTGCACATCAACATATCAACCTCATCAACCACAAGACTGGTTGGTGGTGTAACCTCATCAACCACAAGACTGGTTGATGGTGTAACAACCTCATCGACCACAAGACTGGTTGATGGTGTAACAACCTCATCGACCACAAGATTGGTTGATGGTGTAACAACCTCATCGACCACAAGATTGGTTGATGGTGTAACAACCTCATCAACCACAAGACTGGTTGATGGTGTAACAACCTCATCAACCACAAGACTGGTTGATGGTGTAACAACCTCATCAACCACAAAACTGGTTGATGACAGCATTACATTAGTAACACCAGTTTTATTGTTAAAATGACACTAAAATGCTATAAATTATTTTTTCATACTTGATGTTAATTATAAGGAACTTTGCTGCAGTTAGGTTAATCAGAAGAATTAACAAGCCAGGATAACCCAGGAAAGCCAGGCAGTGTGGCTTAGTTATTGAATGGTCTGCAGATCCTCTTCCTCAGGATGCCACCCACAACAGTCGAATGGTAACACTGGGTACCTACTCACTGCTAAGTGAACACAGGTGCCAGTAAATACCCCCACGTCTTTCCCCTGACCAGGGATCGAACCCGGGCTCTTGGATTGTGAGGCAAAGGTTATACACATATCTTATTTCCCAAATTTAAAATATAGTTTATGTTACAGTTAAGACTACAACTACAGGATTGACCTTAGATAAGACTGCAGGTACAGGACTGACCTGTAGAAGATTGGAAGAGTTGTAGACGAACAGGTCAGCACGGATGGGCAGATTGACCGGCACACTGCCTGAAGGAGTCACCTCTTGTCCCTGAAAGCAAAACAGAGGTCACTGGGAGGTCACAGGTCACCGGACGAAGATAATATCAGGAGGGACAGACGGAGGATCGAGCCTTCATAGATTCACGGGATAAACAAGTCTTAGTTATTTACGTGTCGTTATTATTTGTAACTAATAAGATAATTGTAGATACAGCTAGAGGTACTATTGGTAACCCTTTTAAGGCCTATTTCCTAGGCCTACTGTGTGAAGTGACAGAAAGGACAGACAGTGGAAGTGCAGGCTCGACCTTACGTTCGTTAATCCCTCCCTTCAGACTGTGATCAAGCCTGCTGTGAGTGTTGGAGGAAACTCACCTGAGAGAAGTAGTACTCAAGCACAGCTTTCTTGTAGTTGTAGACACCATTGGTGTCAGGATCAGGGATATCCATCCTGGTGCTGGTGAAGCGGTCTCCTTCAGGGGCACGATGTAGCTCTTCCTCACCCACGAAGGCGTACGAGTCGTCAATGTGGAAGACGTCGTTGGGGGACAACAACATCCCTCCAGAGCCAATAAAGCCAGCTGCCAGTCGCAACACTGTTAGTATATGGAACACAACACAACACAACGCAACACAACACAACGCAACACAACACAACACAACACAACACAACACAACGCAACGCAACACAACACAACACAACACAACACAACACAACACAACGCAACACAACACAACACAACACAACACAACACAACACAACACAACACAACACAACACAACGCAATACAACACAACACAATACAACACAACACAACACCAACACAAACACCAACACAACACAACACAACACAACACAACACAACACAACGCAACACAACACAACACAACACAACACAACACAACACAACACAACACAACACAAAACAACACAACACAACACAACACAACGCAACACAACACAACACAACACAACACAACACAACACAACACAACACAACACAACACAACACAACACAACACAATATAAACACAACACAACACAACACAACACAACACAACACAACACAACACAACACAACACAACACAACACAACACAATACAACACAACACAACACAACACAACACAACACAACACAACACAATACAACACAACACAACACAACACAACACAATCACAACACAACACAACACAACACAACACAATACAACACAACACAATACAACACAATACAACACAATACAACACAACACAATACAACACAATACAACACAATACAACACAATACAATACAACACAATACAACACAACACAACACAACACAACACAACACAACACAACACAACACAACGCAACGCAACACAACACAACACAACACACCACAACACAACGCAACGCAACACAACACAACACACCACAATACAACACAAACACAACACAACACAACACAAATACAATACAATACAACACAATACAACACAATACAATACAACACAAACAACACAACACAATACAACACAATACAACGCAATACAACACAACACAATACAACACAATACAATACAACACAATACAACACAACACAATACAACACAATACAACGCAATACAACGCAATACAACACAACACACAATCTGACTTTAAAATTAAGAATATCAGCACTAACACTAACATTAACATTAACACACAAAACATTAACACACAAACAACATTAACACACAAACAACATTAACACACAAACAACATTAACACACAAAGAACATTAACACACAAACAACATTAACACACAAACAACATTAACACACACAACAACATTAACACACAAACAACATTAACACACAAACAACATTAACACACAAACAACATTAACACACAAACAACATTAACACACAAACAACATTAACACACAAACAACATTAACACACAAACAACATTAACACACAAACAACATTAACACACAAACAACATTAACACACAAAGAACATTAACACACAAACCAACATTAACACACAAACAACATTAACACACAAACAACATTAACACACAAAACAACATTAACACACAAACAACATTAACACACAAACAACATTAACACACAAACAACATTAACACACAAACAACATTAACACACAAAGAACATTAACACACAAACAACATTAACACACAAAGAACATTAACACAACAAACAACATTAACACACAAAGAACATTAACACACAAACAACATTAACACACAAAGAACATTAACACACAAACAACATTAACACACAAACAACATTAACACACAAACAACATTAACACACAAAGAACATTAACACACAAACAACATTAACAACACAAACAACATTAACACACAAAGAACAATTAACACACAAAGAACATTAACACACAAACAACATTAACACACAAAGAACATTAACACACAACAAACATTAACACACAAAGAACATTAACACACAAACAACATTAACACACAAACAACATTAACACACAAACAACATTAACATGAGTTACTCACCATAGTGAGAGTCGAAGCTGAAGGAAGGAATGAAGCCAAGACTACAGTTACCGTACTCTCTGTTGACTGTGTACTGAACACCTGGGTCAGCCAGGGTCAGCCAGGGTCAGCCAGGGTCAGCCAGGGTCAGCCAGGGTCAGCCAGGGTCAGCCAGGGTCAGCCAGGGTCAGCCAGGGTCAGCCAGGGTCAGCCAGGGTCAGCCAGGGTCAGCCAGGGTCACGTACAAGCAGAGAGTAGAGTAACAAATATACATTAATATGTTAAGGAGAGAACTCTGGGTCTGGACTGATCTCTGACTTATTGAAAATTGTAATTATAATGTACAGGTCAATATTGGGATTATTATGACATGTGACCAGACTTAGAAGCAGTTACTTGTATATATACACTGATATATACACCTTTCAGTGTATATACACTGAGATATACACCTCTCAGTGTATATACACTGAGAATTATACATCTCTCAGTGTATATACACTGATATATACACCTCTCAGTGTATATACACTGAGATATACATCTCTCAGTGTACATACACTGAGATATACACCTCTCAGTGTATATACACTGAGAATTATACACCTCTCAGTGTATATACACTGAGATATACATCTCTCAGTGTACATACACTGAGATATACACCTCTCAGTGTATATACACTGATATATACACCTCTCAGTGTATATACACTGAGATATATACACCTCTCAGTGTATATACACTGAGATATATACACCTCTCAGTGTATATACACTGAGATATACACCTCTCAGTGTGTATACACTGAGAGATATACATCTCTCAGTGTATATACACTGAGATATACACATTTCAGTGTATATATATATGTCGTAACGTTCACTTTAGTTAAATTTATTTAAAAAAAATAATTTTTTCCATTGTACGAGGAGAAAGTAATATATGTTAACATTTGTTAACACATGTTAATATATGTTAACATTTGTTAACACATGTTAATATATGTTAACATCTGTTAATACATTTCAAAATTGTTTTCCTTACCTGGAGTATACCTGGAGGGGGTTCGTGGGTTATCTTACCTTTGTTAAGTTAGACACAGCTGGTTATCTTACCTTTGTTAAGTTAGACACGTCTGGTTATCTTACCTTTGTTAAGTTAGACACGTCTGGTTATCTTACCTTTGTTAAGTTAGACACATCTGGTTATCTTACCTTTGTTAAGTTAGGCACAGCTGGTTATCTTACCTTTGTTAAGTTAGACACGACTTGTTATCTTACCTTTGTTAAGTTAGACACAGCTGGTTATTTTACCTTTGTTAAGTTAGACACAGCTGGTTATCTTACCTTTGTTAAGCTAGACACAGCTGGTTATCTTACCTTTGTTAAGTCAGACATAGCTGGTTATCTTACCTTTGTTAAGTTAGACACAGCTGGTTATCTTACCTTTGTTAAGCTAGACACAGCTGGTTATCTTACTTTTGTTAAGTTAGACACAGCTGGTTATCTTACCTTTGTTAAGTTAGACACAGCTGGTTATCTTACCTTTGTTAAGCTAGACACAGCTGGTTATCTTACCTTTGTTAAGTTAGACACAGCTGGTTATCTTACCTTCGTTAAGTTAGACACAGCTGGTTATCTTACCTCTGTTAAGTGAGACACAGCTGGTTATCTTGATTTTGTTAAGTTAGACACATCTGGTTATCTTACCTCTGTTAAGTTAGACACATCTGGTTATCTTACCTTTGTTAAGTTGGACACATCTGGTTATCTTACTTGTGTTAAGTTAGACACAGCTGGTTATCTTACCTTTGTTAAGTTAGACACAGCTGGTTATCTTACCTGTGTTAAGTTAGACACATCTGGTTACCTTACCTGTGTTAAGTTAGACACATCTGGTTATCTTACCTTTGTTAAGTTAGACACATCTGGTTATCTTACCTGTGTTAAGTTAGACACATCTGGTTATCTTACCTGTGTTAAGTTAGACACATCTGGTTATCTTACCTGTGTTAAGTTAGACACATCTGGTTATCTTACCTGTGTTAAGTTAGACACAGCTGGTTATCATACCTGTGTTAAGTTAGACACATCTGGTTATCTTACCTGTGTTAAGTTAGACACAGCTGGTTATCATACCTGTGTTAAGTTAGACACAACTGGTTATCTTACCTTTGTTAAGTTAGACACAACTGGTTATCTTACCTTTGTTAAGTTAGACACATCTGGTTATCTTACCTGTGTTAAGTTAGACACATCTGGTTATCTTACCTTTGTTAAGTTAGACACATCTGGTTATCTTACCTTTGTTAAGTTAGACACATCTGGTTATATTACCTTTGTTAAGTTAGACACAACTGGTTATCTTACCTTTGTTAAGTTAGACACAACTGGTTATCTTACCTTTGTTAAGTTAGACACATCTGGTTATCTTACCTTTGTTAAGTTAGACACAGCTGGTTATCTTACCTGTGTTAAGTTAGACACACCTGGTTATCATACCTGTGTTAAGTTAGACACATCTGGTTATCTTACCTGTGTTAAGTTAGACACATCTAGTTATCTTACCTTTGTTAAGTTAGACACATCTGGTTATCTTACCTTTGTTAAGTTAGACACATCTGGTTATCTTACCTTTGTTAAGTTAGACACATCTGGTTATCTTACCTTTGTTAAGTTAGACACATCTGGTTATCTTACCTTTGTTAAGTTAGACACATCTGGTTATCTTACCTTTGTTAAGTTAGAAACATCTGGTTATCTTACCTGTGTTAAGTTAGACACATCTGGTTATCTTATCTTTGTTAAGTTAGACACATCTGGTTATCTTACCTTTGTTAAGTTAGACACATCTGGTTATCTTACCTTTGTTAAGTTAGACACATCTGGTTATCTTATCTTTGTTAAGTTAGACACATCTGGTTATCTTACCTTTGTTAAGTTAGACACATCTGGTTATCTTATCTTTGTTAAGTTAGACACATCTGGTTATCTTACCTGTGTTAAAGTCATGTATAACTTCCAGTTCATAGTTGGATGTAGGTGAAGAATCATCCATGGGCAGGTATGTGAGGCTGACCAGAGATAACTTGCCAGCGTAAGTCATCTGTGTGAGAGATACACATGTTATTACGCAAGTAACACACACCCACACATGCACACACACACACCCACACACACACGCAGCTCATGGACCAGGAGAGAGTGAACCTAGTAGCGACCAGTGAAGAGGCAGGGCCAGGAGCTATGACTCGACCATCGCAACCACAATTAGGTGAGTACACATACACACCTGCAACTTATCCAGGTGTTGAGTGCCATATATGTTGCCATCTATCTGTGAGTTCTTGACGACTTCCTCTGCCAGGCTAAAGTGCCAGGGGATGTCAGGGATCTTCACGTCTGACATGACTGACACCAGGTTCTCACAGGCGAGTCCCCGGGGAGTCTGTGGGCAAGGAGTCATTAGTGACAGACCTAGTATAACAACTGTAAGCATACACACACACACACACACACACACACACACACACACACACACACACACACACACACTATACATAGTTTTAAGACGAGGTTTGATAAAGCTCTTGGAACAGGGAGAGAGAGGACCTAGTAGCAATCAGTGAACTGGCGGGCCCAGGAGCTATGACTCGATCCCTGCATCCACAAATAGGTGAGTACACACACAGGAGCTGTAAATCAACCCCTGCAACCACATACAGGCAAGCAAGTACACATATACACCCCCCCCCTTCCCCACCCCCCCACAAACACACACCTCCAAACTGCTGTGCGACTCGACGAAGGGCAGGAACTGCACGATGTTGTACTGCCACGCCATAGAATTATCAGTGAAACCGACATGTATCCTGACAGGAACTCTACCATCACCTTCAGAGAACCAGTTGGCGTATGGCATACTCCAGGGCCTCTCTGAAACAACCACAGGCGCCTGTAATCACCTACTGCCAGTTATAGGATATCATTATTGTTGTTTGTAGATGAATGGTTCAGAGAACCGACATGTTGATAAATTAGACACATGTGCAACTCTTGGGTATCTTTATTGAGGAAACGTTTCGCCACACAGTGGCTTCATCACTCCATACATATGAGAAGCCACTGTTGTGGCGAAACGTTTCCTCAATAAAGATACCCAAGAGTTGCACATGTGTCTAATTTATCATTATTGTTGTTATACTGAGAAAGAAGAGGTCAGCAAGTAAGAGCCATGGTTGCATTTGGGTAAAGGGAGGTATTTAGGTTTGATCTGAGGAAAGGGAAGGTAGATTTATTTGCTGTGATCAAAATAACCCACGACGGCCCACGCACTGCCCTTGGAGGAACCCACGACGACCCACACACTGCCCTTGGTGGAACCCACGATGACCCACACACTGCCCTTGGAGGAACCCACGACGACCCACACACTGCCCTTGGTGGAACCCACGACGACCCACGCACTGCCCTTGGTGGAACCCACGACGACCCACACACTGCCCTTGGTGGAACCCACGATGACCCACACACTGCCCTTGGAGGAACCCACGACGACCCACACACTGCCCTTGGTGGAACCCACGACGACCCACGCACTGCCCTTGGTGGAACCCACGACGACCCACACACTGCCCTTGGTGGAACCCACGACGACCCACACACTGCCCTTGGTGGAACCCACGATGACCCACACACTGCCCTTGGTGGAACCCACGACGACCCACACACTGCCCTTGGTGGAACCCACGACGACCCACACACAGAAGGGGTTACTGAAGTCAGATACTCGCCTGAGAAGTAGTATTTGATTGCAACTTTGCCGTCTTCAGTACACGTCTTCCACTGCTCAACCTTCACTCCTTCCAAGACCTCGTCTCCTCCCACGAATTCCTGAAGTAGGGGAGGGAAGAACCCACGATGAAGGAGGAGCGGCAGGTGCGTGGAACAAGAATATGTGAACAAGAGAAAGCAGTACCATCAAGCAACCCACATGGACACACTTTAACAGGTGAATATTGTGATTGTCTCTCACAATCAGACCATCTTCAGCACTCAAGTATTGTTGAAGATGGTATTAAATACCTAGAAGTTGAAGATTAAAAACACATGTGCAACAGTTGAGTGTCTTTATTAATGAAACGTCTCGCCTACACAGTAGACGTCTTCAGTCAAATACAAAGGCAGCAGTAATAATGCAATACTCTTGATGTAATCAGTCCATCAATCTCGGAGAAAAATTATTTGAGGTGATTAGTCTATGGTACATAAAGTACAGTACTCATCTATTCTTGCGTCCAGGTGGGTTGATTTGTGTCCTAATCCTACCTTTATCACAATTTTTTTAATAAACAGTGAAAGATACACGCAGAGGTAATAAGAGAGGCGCTACAGCAGGTGCTGGAGGCCTGTGTGAAACAACTGACGGTGTTCATGTAGGAGGCGAGGCGCAGGAGGCTGGAGGGACCATAGTTGGCATCACCATGGGCAGGATCCACGTCATACCATCCCCACGGCAAGAACCCAGGCTGCTCCCTGGTCACCAGGTCAAGCAACAGGTCAAGCAACAGGTCAATGCTACTCAAGTTCTCTCACATGCTTATATTCAACCGATGTATATTCAACTATTTGCAGTAGGCCTACTGGTCCATACTAGGCAAGTCTTTCTCAAACTCAAACCCACTAGCAAATATACCTGCCCAACCTATTTTCAATGGTACCCAGGAAACTAGCATGCTAGTGGTTTTATTGTCTGCCAACAATATTTTATTGTATGTAAGCTACATTACTTGTATAATACAGAAAAGAATAAATTGTTTGGATTTTTGTATTTGTAATGTGGAAGTCCCACTCAGATCCAAAGAAATACTCGTAAATTCTTGAAAAAACTAGTGATATACAGTAGGTGGGAGAAGCACTGACCCGGAGCTGATGCAGCGGTCACCATACTGGGTATTGAACCTGCCCTGTATTGGGTAGAAGTGAAAGACGGTCGTGGAGCCGTTGTTGACCACAGAGACAGCAGCCGTGTCGCTGAAGTAGTCGTGGTAGACCCTTCGCTCTCTCTCCTCCTCCACGTAGTACGTAAGGTTCTATCGGGGAAAGAAGGAAGTTCTTAGGTATAGTTTCAGGGGGTTAAACAGCGAAGAGAAGGTCGGTAGGTGCGGTTCTAGGAGGCTAGACAGGGATGGCAGGTCAACAGGTCATGTTTTGAGTGGTTTAGAAGGATAGACAAGGTCAGCAGGTCAAGTTTTAGGGTTAGAATGGGTGAACAGGCGAATACCTCAGGTTCTAAACTCAAACCTGAGGCGGAAAGGTCAAAAGGTCAAGTTCTGAAGGGCTAGAAGAGACAGACTCAGCAGGTGAGGTTCTGGGAGGGAAGCAGAGGTCAGTTTGGGTTACTGAGGTGGTAGTGGATAATGGAAAAGAAGGAAGAAGAGAAGGTTTAGACTGAGGAAACACAGAGAGAAGCGATATTTGTTGTGTTGCTCTTATGATGCAGTCGTAGACGCCAGGTGGCAGCACCTAACCTAGACAGCACCTAACCTAACCTAGAAAACACCTAACCTAACCTAGACAACGCCTAACCTAACCTAGACAGCCCCTAACCTAACCTAGACAGCACCTAACCCAACGTAGACAGAATCTAACCTAACGAGACAGCACCTAATCTAACCTTCCTCCTGTCTTGTACACACCTGCTTCATACTAGTCATCTCCACCACAAGGGTGTAGGAGCCGGCCAGGGTATCTTTGTAGTCAGGTATGGAGTGGTCATCGTTCTGGTCAGGTGTGGGTGGGGTACAGGGTTCCTGCCCACCCACCCCGCCCACCCACAGCACGCCCACGGCTGCCATCACCACAGCCGCCCATGCAAATGATGACATCTCTCTGAAATTCAACAATGCAAAAATCATGAGACACGGGTGGGTCACTCTCTCTCTCTCTCTCTCTCTCTCTCTCTCTCTCTCTCTCTCTCTCTCTCTCTCTCTCTCTCTCTCTCTCTCTCTCTCTCTCTCTCTCAAAGCTGTAATAAACAGAAGGATGGGCGAGAGGCTCGAACTGAGGTCCATAAAGTATATTACCCTGTAATAAAATGCCCTTACCAAGATAGAGAAAGAAACAAGAGAAATTAGATAAAAGACTGAAGAAATACTCTCACTACAAGATTGGAAGTAGACCCACAGTTTGCTACAGATGTTTCTTGTAGCAACAACACCCATCTGAGACCCAAAATTAGCAGAGAATGAGGAACATTGTTGGAACACACCACCAGGGTAGACAGGGCGCTGGAACACACCACCAGGGTAGACAGGGCGCTGGAACACACCACCAGGGTAGACAGGGCGCTGGAACACACCACCAGGGTAGACAGGGCGCTGGAACACACCACCAGGGTAGACAGGGCGCTGGAACACCACCACAGGGTACACAGGGCGCTGGAACACACCACCAGGGTAGACAGAGCGCTGGAACACACCACCAGGGTAGACAGAGCGCTGGAACACACTGCCTTCCAGAGTTATCTCTAGAAACGATTACCAAAAAAACAAAATCAGAAACATCACTCAGGTATTTTGACCATTTTTGGGTAATAATATTTCTGGCTGTACCAAGATGGGTTTCAGAGGTTAGGGAGGGAGGAAGGTATTTCAGGGGTTAGGGAGGGAGGGAGGTATTTCAGGGGTTAGGGAGGGAGGGAGGTATTTCAGGGGTTAGGGGGCAGGGAGGTATTCGGGGTTAGGGAGGGGGAGGTATTTCAGGATAGGGAGGGAGGGAGTAAATTCAGGGTTAGGGAGGGGGGAATTTCCAGCGTTAGGGAGGAGGAGGTACTTCAGGGATTAGGGAGAGGAGGTATTTCAGGGTTAGGAGGGAGGGAGGTATTTCCAGGGTTAGAGGGAGGGAGATTTCAGGGGTTAGGGAGGGGGGGAGTATTCTCAGTGGGTTAGGGCAGGAGGACGCAGTAGTGAAGATGGACCATGATAAAATCAGGATAACAGTAGGTGAATAACCACTGTGACAGTCCCCACCAATGTGTTAAGATACAGCAGTGATAACCGACCATGACAACCACCAACTGTCATGATCTCGCCACCAGCTGTAATGACCACCAGTCTGCCTCACATAATGACCACCAGTTGCCTCTAAGACCACCAGTTGGCCATAATGACCACCAGCTAGGTCTATAATGACCTCCAGCTAGCTGTAATGACCACCAGCTGCTCTAACGACCACCAGTTTGCCATAATGACCACCAGCTGGCTGTAACGACCACCAGCTGACTATAATGACCACCAGTTGCCTATAATGACCACCAGCTGTCTCTACGACCACAGTCCTTGATGTTGCAGACCACAGCTGCTATATGAACAGTTGTCATATGACACAGCGTCCTACTGAGATAAGTCTTGATGAGACCTGCAGTGTGGTGTCAACAGCTAGTCATTCCTTAGAGATGTGATGACAACTGGGTTTGGAGAGCCCAGAAGTACAGTCAACTAGACTCAGTTAACACTTTTACGAACTGATCAGTAACTTGCAGCATCCCACCGCAAATATGAGAGTTACCCTTAAAACATGTATTCTTCTGGTACCTGCTTTCCTAGCTTTATACCTGCTTTCCTAGCTTTGTACCTGCTTTCCTAGCTTTGTACCTGCTTTCCTAGCTTTGTACCTGCTTTCCTAGCTTTGTACCTGCTTTCTTTATTTTGTACCTCCCTCCCTAACCTTGCACCTACTTTCCTAACCTCACACCTACTTCCCTAACTTCGCACCTACTTCCCTAAGCAATTAGCTGTTCCATTCCGGTTTGATGGTACTTCCATCGCTTGTCCGAGGGGTAAGTGTCGCTAGTAGACACACCTGGAGACGGTCTTCACTGCCGGAAAGTGTCCGACGGAGAGGGGGACGTAGGGAAGAAAAGTAGCAGCTGGAAATTGACTTACCCTCTCGGCAGTGCACACACTGGTTGACTGATGCTGTGTTTTGTGGTGGTAGTGGTTGTTGTAATGGCAGGGGGTTAGTAGGAGGGGGAGGGGGAGGGGGGGTGGAGGTGGAAAGTGGGTGTCAGTCGCCGTAACAAAGGCTTTTTGTAATCTGGGTTGACCGCAGATATCAGGGTGTCAGTCTGTGGGCGCCAGGTTGGTGTTCCATATGGGTTGCTCACGCCGGGTTGTTCACACCTGGTTGTTCACTCCAGGTTGCTCACGCCGGTTGTTCACACCTGGTTGTTCACTCCAGGTTGCTCACGCCGGTTGTTCACACCTGGTTGTTCACTCCAGGTTGCTCACGCCGGGTTGTTCACACCTGGTTGTTCACTCCAGGTTGCTCATGCCGGGTTGTTCACACCTGGTTGTTCACTCCAGGTTGCTCATGCCGGGTTGTTCACACCGGGTTGTTCACGCCGGGTTGTTCACACCGGGTTGTTCACGCCGGGTTGTTCACGCCGGGTTGTTCCACCGGGTTGTTCACACCTGGTTGTTCACTCCAGGTTGCTCACGCCGGGTTGTTCACACCGGGTTGTTCACGCCGGGTTGTTCACGCCTGGTTGTTCACACCTGGTTGTTCACACCTGGTTGTTCACACCTGGTTGTTCACACCTGGTTGCTCACGCCGGGTTGTTCCACCGGGTTGTTTACTCCAGGTTGTTTGCACCGGGTTGTTTACACCTGGTTGTTCACACCAGGTTGTTCCACCAGATTGTTCCACCTGGTTGTTCCACCAGGCTGTTCCACCTGGTCGTTCCACCTGGTTGTTCACACCAGGTTGTTCACATCAGGTTGTTCACACCAGGTTGTTCCACCGGGATGTTCCACCTGGTTGTTCCACCTGGTTGTTCACACTAGGTAGTTCCACTAGGTTGTTGTGGTGCTGTTTTGGTTGCTAGAATAATGTGGCATGACACAGGGCCTGTGTCACGTCATGTGACATGACACAGGTCCTGTCTACCTGCTCACATCCCCCCCCAGTAAACGACTATAAATCAAGATAGTCTGCCATCACACACAGAGGAGCGGTGACTCGACCCCCGCACCATCGTACAAGAGGGTACACACACACACAGAGGAGCGGTGACTCGACCCCCGCACCATCGTACAGGAGGGTACACACACGAGGGGCACAAGTTAGATTGTAAGCAACTGCGAACCATAATTACATTTTGAGACAGTCAGGTCACCCTGAACCTAATTTCAGGGTACCTCTCTCTCTCCTCTCCTCTCGCTCTCTCCTTCCCTCTCTCTCATCACTCTCCTCTCCTTCTCCCCTCTCTCTCTCTACTCCTCCTCCTTTTCTCCCTCTCTCTCTCCTCCTTTTTCTCTGTTTCCCTACCTGTCTGCCAACCTGCCTGTCAGCCTGCCTGCCTGCCTGCTTGCTTGCCTGCCTGCCTGCCTGCCTGCCTGCCTGCCTGCCTGTCAGCCTGCCTGCCTGCCTGCCTGCCTGCCTGCCTGCCAGCCTGCCTGCCAGCCTGCCTGTCAGCCTGCCTGCCTGCCTGTTTGTCTGCCTGTCAGCCTGCCTGCCTGCCTGCCTGCCTGCCTGCCTGCCTGCCTGCCTGTCAGCCTGCCTGTCAACATGCCTGTCAGCCTGCCTGCCTGTCTGCCTGCCTGCCTGCCTGCCTGCCTGCCTGCCTGCCTGCCTGCCTGCCTGTCAGCAAGCCTGTCAGCCTGCCTGCCTGCCTGCCTGCCTGCCTGCCTGCCTGTCAGCCTGCCTGTCAGCCTGCCTGTCAGCCTGCCTGCCTGCCTGTTTGCCTGCCTGTCAGCCTGCCTGCCTGCCTGCCTGCCTGCCTGTCAGCCTGCCTGCCTGCCTGTCAGCCTGCCTGCCTGCCTGCCTGCCTGCCTGCCTGCCTGCATGCCTGTTTGCCTGCCTGTCAGCCTGCCTGCCTGCCTGTTTGCCTGCCTGTCAGCCTGCCTGCCTGCCTGCCTGCCTGCCTGCCTGCTTGCCTGCCTGCCTGCTTGCCTGTCTACCTGCCTGCCAGCCTGCCTGCCTGCTTGCCTGTCTACCTGCCTGCCAGCCTGCCTGCCTGCTTGCCTGTCTACCTGCCTGCCTGCCTACCTGCCAGCCTGCCTGCCTGCTTGCCTGTCTACCTGCCTGCCTGCCTGCCAGCCTGCCTGCCTGCTTGCCTGTCTACCTGCCTGCCTGCCTGCCTGCTTGCCTGTCTACCTGCCTGCCTGCCTGCCAGCCTGCCTGCCTGCTTGCCTGTCTACCTGCCTGCCTGCCTGCCTGCCTGCTTGCCTGTCTACCTGCCTGCCTGCCTGCCAGCCTGCCTGCCTGCTTGCCTGTCTACCTGCCTGCCAGCCTGCCTGCCTGCTTGCCTGTCTACCTGCCTGCCTGCCTGCCAGCCTGCCTGCCTGCTTGCCTGTCTACCTGCCTGCCTGCCTGCCTGCCTGCCTGCCTGCTTGCCTGCCTGCCTGCCTGCCTGCCTGCCTGTCAGCCTGCCTGTCAGCATGCCTGTCAGCCTGCCTGCCTGTCTGCCTGCCTGCCTGCCTGCCTGCCTGCCTGCCTGCCTGCCTGCCTGCCTGCCTGCCTGCCTGCCTGCCTGCCTGTCAGCAAGCATGTCAGCCTGCCTGCCTGCCTGCCTGCCTGCCTGCCTGCCTGTCAGCCTGCCTGTCAGCCTGCCTGTCAGCCTGCCTGCCTGCCTGTTTGCCTGCCTGTCAGCCTGCCTGCCTGCCTGCCTGCCTGCCTGCCTGCCTGCCTGTCAGCCTGCCTGCCTGCCTGCCTGCCTGCCTGCCTGCATGCCTGTTTGCCTGCCTGTCAGCCTGCCTGCCTGCCTGTTTGCCTGCCTGTCAGCCTGCCTGCCTGCCTGCCTGCCTGCCTGCTTGCCTGCCTGCCTGCTTTGCCTGTCTACCTGCCTGCCAGCCTGCCTGCCTGCTTGCCTGTCTACCTGCCTGCCAGCCTGCCTGCCTGCTTGCCTGTCTACCTGCCTGCCTGCCTACCTGCCAGCCTGCCTGCCTGCTTGCCTGTCTACCCGCCTGCCTGCCTGCCAGCCTGCCTGCCTGCTTGCCTGTCTACCTGCCTGCCTGCCTGCCTGCCTGCTTGCCTGTCTACCTGCCTGCCTGCCTGCCTGCCTGCTTGCCTGTCTACCTGCCTGCCTGCCTGCCAGCCTGCCTGCCTGCTTGCCTGTCTACCTGCCTGCCTGCCTGCCAGCCTGCCTGCCTGCTTGCCTGTCTACCTGCCTGCCAGCCTGCCTGCCTGCTTGCCTGTCTACCTGCCTGCCTGCCTGCCTGCCTGCCTGCCTGCTTGCCTGTCTACCTGCCTGCCTGCCTGCCAGCCTGCCTGCCTGCTTGCCTGTCTACCTGCCTGCCTGCCTGCTTGCCTGTCTACCTGCCTGCCAGCCTGCCTGCCTGCTTGCCTGTCTACCTGCCTGCCAGCCTGCCTGCCTGCTTGCCTGTCTACCTGCCTGCCTGCCTGCCAGCCTGCCTGCCTGCTTGCCTGTCTACCTGCCTGCCTGCCTGCCTGCCTGTCTACCTGCCAGCCTGCCTGCCAGCCTGCCTGCCTGCTTGCCTGTCTACCTGCCTGCCTGCCTGCCTGCCTGTCTACCTGCAGCCTGCCTGCCAGCCTGCCTGCCTGCTTGCCTGTCTACCTGCCTGCCTGCCTGCCTGCCTGCCTGCCTGCCTGCCTGCCTGCCAGCCTGCCTGCCTGCCTGCCAGCCTGCCTGCCTGCTTGCCTGTCTACCTGCCTGCCTGCCTGATAATACGTACAGAGAAGAGAGAGAGAGAGAACAAAGATACACTGGTAAGAGAAGTGTTGTGTGTGGTGGAGTGTTACTGAGTGTACTACACTGTTTGTTGACTCAAGGCAGACAGGCAGGGAAGCAGACAGGCAGGGAGACAGGCATGGAGGCAGACAGGCAGGGAAGCAGACAGGCAGGGAGACAGGCATGGAGGCAGACAGGCAGGGAAGCAGACAGGCAGGGAGACAGGCATGGAGGCAGACAGGCAGGAAGCAGACAGGCAGGGAGACAGGCATGAGGCAGACAGGCAGGGAAGCAGACAGGCAGGGAGACAGGCATGGAGGCAGACAGGCAGGGGAGCAGACAGGCAGGGAGACAGGCATGGAGGCAGGCAGGCAGGGAAGCAGGCACGCAGGGAGCTGGGCAGGGAGCTGGGCAGGGAGCTGGGCAGGGAGCTGGGCAGGGAGCTGGGCAGGGAGCTGGGCAGGGAGCTAGGCAGGGAGCTGGGCAGGGAGATAGAGCCAGGCAGGGAGATAGAGCCAGGCAGGGAGATAGAGCCAGGCAGGGAGATAGAGCCAGGCAGGGAGATAGAGCCAGGCAGGGAGATAGAGAGGCAGGTAGGGAGGAAGAAGAGCCTTCATAAGAACATAAGAAAGAAAGAGCACTGCAGCAGGCCTACTGACCCATGCTAGGTAGGTCCAAGTCACCTACTGACCCAACCCAGTCAGGTCGAACTCTCACCCACCCACAAACCAACACTGCACTATGTTATAGGTGATAATAACTCAGTGGTCACACTTGTAGGTTACCATGACAACAACTGTCTCAATGTGACACTGTTCCCACTAGTGGGCCCCTGCCCACTTGTGATGCTGCCTCCACCTGCTTCACCTCACCTGTCTCCAGTATATGAGCCCCGTTCCCGTTCATATGTTGTACTTTTATCGAGGCTGAGGGACTGATTACCCCAAATCTCCCGCTGCACACCTTCCTCAGTCATTCACATATATCATATCCTTCTACTTGTCGATGCATTCACGCCCGTGCCGGGATCGATCCCAGGTCCCTCAGTGTATTTACTCGTCTCCGGGATAATACACTTTTCAGTCATGAAATTCATCCATATTTTACAGCCATTTTGACTGTATTTTAATTACAGTTGATAAATGAAAAGTAACAATTGTTCGTATGATGTCATTGTATCACATGTTGACTCCGTCTCGATGCTTATTGCTGGCTCTGGCTTCGGCTAAGATTCATCACCGATTTTATTATCGA